TGCCACATGTGGCGACCCTTTTTAGCACACTTGTTGCATCCGCTGCCTGTTTGTGCCCCCCTCCCCCGCCCCCTCGTACGCCCCTCTTTGGCTGGAAATTACTGGAGCATGCAACTGTTTGTTGCTCGTTGCTGTTGCTGTTTTCTGCTGATTTGAAATGCAGATTCCTGCATCGCATCTTGTGGCTTTATTTCATTTTATTTAAATATAAATAGCCCTCATTTGAGGACAGGGGAGGGGCGGAGGGGTGGGGAGGGGTAGGGCTTCTCTGTGACCTGCTGCTGTGTCCCGCCTACAGTGCGTTTCAAAAGTGTAACTGGAGGAGCGAGAGAATGTTAGATATTTCGAAGTCAAGGGAGAAAAGCTCTCCTACGAGTAGCAAGGAGGCTGTCCCAGATACAAAGATACATGGGACATACACTCGACAGATGTACAGACAGACAGATACTGCAGGGGTAAAAGATACTATTTGTTCCTTTCTATCTGTTCTTCAATCAATCGGAGAATATTTTGCTATGCACCTGCAGATACAGATACAGATACAGATACATTGTACCCGATATCGATGTGAATCTTTGGGATTGTATCGATTGGAACGTAATCCAGGGATTGAATAAACTGCGATCACTTTTGACTTTTGGAAAACAGCAAGGAGACATTCCCATTGCCATTGGCTTTTCTCTGGCTTCGAAGATACAGATACAGATACAGATACAGATACAGATATCTGGCAATGCAAATGGAAATGCTGGCAATTGTCAGTTAATTTTGTTGGCAGCCGAAGCCGAAGCCTCGAAGGCAAACCCTCGACGTCTTTTTCCCAGGCCAAAAGCAGAAAATTCTCAACTGAAATCAGGTCGTACTGCTCTCTCTCTCTCTCTCTCTCTCACAGTCTCTCCCTCTCTCTGTCTCTCCTTATCGCTTGTTTGTCTGCGAATTTGCATTAGATTTGTTTCAGGTCTTGGAACCAGAACTACACCCACTCCAGGGGGGGGTCGGAGGAATGCGGGGGGAGGGGGGAAATGCAAATTAGTTTTGAGCCAAGAATCTCGCGGGGGAGCACTCATACACGTGCGAGTGAGTGTGCCACGAGTGTATCTGTATCTGTATCTGTATCTGCTGCTGCACATGTATCTGCATCTGCATCTGCCTCTGCATCTAATTATGCATTAAAAAAGTGTTTGGGAAATGGTTTTCTGATTGCACAGAAAAGGCCAAAGAGGCAGAGTGGAAGGTGGCATGGCCCCCCCTGCCCCCTTGCCCCATTATCTTTGATGAACTAATTTTCGTGGCAGGCTTCCCCTTCCCCTCTCCACCCCTCCCCTCCCATCCCCAATTAAAACTAAAACAGAAAATTCATTAAAAATAAACGATAATTGGATGATTCGGTTCCTTTCCTTCTTTCTTCCCATCTGCTGGGAATACTTGGAGCAGGAGGGGGACGGGGGGGGGTGAAGGAGATTCCCTGGGAATATTCTCATATGCAAAATTATGAAAGAGAATGCAAGGAAAATGGAGAGAACGGGGGGGAGGGGATTGGGGATTCACTCAAGAATGAATGAAAGAATGAATGAAACGGTTTTCCAACCAAAAAAGGTGTCAAGTGGAACGGTGGGAAGGGGGGATTTTCTTTGGGAACGGAACTGCTTTTCAGCTTCTGAAAGAACTTTTGGGATCTTCCACCTTTGCAGAGGCAGCGGTGGAGGTGGAGGCTTCTTTTGGGCTGTAAATTCGATTCATTTTAAACTCGCAGTCCATGAATTGCAGATTTTTATTATTACAGTCGAACTTCCATATAAGGGATTCTATTTCAAGGGCACCATCAAATAAATTATAAAACAAAATGTTAAAGAATAAATAATAAAAAAATAACAAATAAATAATACAAAATAGAAATGAATAAACAATAATTCATAGTTAAAAATAATAAATAAATAAATAATACATGAAGAATAAATAAGTAATAAATAAATATACATATAATAAAAATAAAAAATGAATAAATATAAAAATAAATACTAAGTAAAATAAATAATTAATAAATAATAAGTAAAATAAATAGTTAATAAACAGTTAATAAACAATAAATAAATAATTAATAAATATTAAATAAATAATAAATAAATAATAAATAGATAATAAATAAATAATAAATAAATAAATAATAAATAATAAATAAATAATAAATAAATAATAAATAAATAATAAATAAACAATAAATAAATAATTAATAAATATTAAATAAATAATAAATAAATATTAAATAAATAAATAATAAATAAATATTAAAATAAAAAATTAATAAATAATAGATCCAAACTTTGGCTATCCAATAATCTCGATAGCTTTCCATCGTACAAAAACTGATGAATACCCCAATTTTCACCGCTTTCTGCAGCCTCCAGCCAGCTCCCTCCCTCCCTCCCCCCCAACCATCCCTGTCCATCCCCCCCTCCACCTCTGTATAAAATGCTGTTCACATAGTTGTCTCTCTATAACTCGTATAAATCCAACAAATCCAATAAATCAAAACCAAACCAAACCAATCCTAAAACAAAAAACAGAAGACGAAAAAAAAAACATTAATTAACAAGCGTAAAATTGTACCAAAATTGGAATTGGAACCGACCACAAATTTGGTTGCACCACAAAAGCAGGCAGGCAGGCAGGCAGAGAGGCAGAGGCGGAGAGTGGGAGTGGGCAGGGGGCTGGTGGCAGGGGCGGGAAGGGGAGGGTATCTGCTGCAGTGGCTGCGAGTGGGCGTGACAGCTGTAAAAAGCCGCAAATGATAATTTTACAGTGCGGCAAAACATTAAACAATTGCAACAACAACAACAACCATTAGGAAAAAAATGAAACAACAAAAATTTCCAATCAAATTTGATGAAAATTCATAATTTTGTTTTTCGGTCATTTGTCTTTTTTTTTTGGGTTTTTTTTCTGGCTACTGGAGGGGCCATGTGGGCGTGTGCGAGGGCGTGGAAAATGGGCTAAGAGTCTCAGAGAGAGAGAAAGAGAGAGAGAGAGCAAGAGAGATGTTACATCATGGCCCAAAAAAAAAAGAGTAATAGAGGTCGAAATTGCAATTGTTTTTCGGACAGTAATTGTTTTTTTTTTTGTTTCTTTTGCTTCGGTTAACATTTTGTTGTTTTCTTCGGTAAAGCCCACACATGTGCCACACTACTTTTTACCCTGTAAATAGGAGAGAGAAGGGTGAGGGTGTGCAATCATTGCATGAAGGGTACTCTGAAGTATCTTTCATCTGTTGATGGAACATGGAGTGCCGCGGAATGCCCAATCCCGATACCCGATGCTCAAAAAGAGTATTGGGGTATATTCGATTTGTGGGGACTGTGGCTGCGTGCAATGCCCAGATGGAAGCGTTTCCGACCCCATAAAGTATATAAATTCTTGATCAGCATCGATGGCCGAGCCGATAGAGTCATGTCTGTCTGTCCGTCTGTCCAGATCCGTCCGTTCCAGAAGGAACAAATCTATTTTAAGTGGCTCTTCGTCGTGCAATGTGTGCGCCCTCTGGCGGAGGGGAGCCACACTGAGTGAGTAGTGACTTATAACGTTCCCTTCGTTTTTTTTAAATACATATATATATTTTTTTTTGTATATTATTTTATTTTATTTTTGTTGTATTTAATTTTTTTTTTTTTATTTAATTTTCTTTTTGTTTTTTGTATTTTATTTTGTTTTTATTTTTGTATTTCTGTATTTGTTATTTCTTTTGTACTTAATTTTTTAAATATTTTTTTGTTGTTTTTATTTATATGTTTTTATTATTTATTTATATTTTTTTTTATTATTTATTTATATTTTTGTTGTATTATTTATTTATATTTTTATTGTATTATTTATTTATATTTGTTTTTATTTTATTCTATTTTTTTTGTTGTTTTGTATTTAATTTTAAAAATATAGTTTTTTAATAATTTTTCTGGTTGCTTGCGTTGCACTCTAGGGTATCCCACAGGTCTTTACCCCTGAATCGTTGCCACCTGCGGCACTCTTTTTTTTCCCCCTCTTTTTCGGTGGGGTTTTCTTATGCGAGCTGTGGGTCAAAGTCTTTGAAAAAATGATGTTGTAAAAAAAAAGAAAAAGTAAACCGCGACGACGGGACGGGACGGCCACTAAAAAAGATACGACGATACGAAAATAAAAGCCAAGTTATATGAAAATATGGACAGGGGACAGGGGACATGGGACATGGACTTAAACGAGTTCTGCTCTCCCTCCACACCCCTCCCCCTCCCCCTCCCCATCTCTCTCCCCCTCTCTCTCCGTCTCTCCCTCGAGTGGAAAATGTTAAGTATACCAGAAATTTATTTATTTTATGTACAAAAACTAAAGCAAAAATAAAAACAAATTTCATAAAGCCAACAGAGGGGGTGAGGGGGGAGGGGGGAACACACGGGGGAATTGTAAAAATAATTTTCTCTAATTAATTGTACAACATTTGTTTAGAGGGGAGGGAGGGGTCTTAGGGGGGTCTAGAGGCGGGGCGGGGGGTGTGGGGGGAAATGATTTATTTGTGGGGCTCTGAAGTTGCTTTTTCCGCTTTTGGGGGAAACATACCTCCGGCATGGAAAAGCGTCGAGTGGAAAAAAAAAATGCGGTGCCACCGGCGGACCTCCACCGCCGAGTGGTTGTCCAACACTTGGACAGCATTTTTCACATTGCTTTTGTTTTAACGCGCATTTCTTATGCATTATTGAACGACGATGGCCATAAACAATATTTTATGTATTTATTTGTGACAACATTTGCAGGATTCCAACAGCCACAGCCACAGCCACATCATGACGATGAGAGCTGCCGCACCCAGCTGCCACCAGAGCCAGAGCCAGAGCCAGAGCTACCACAACCAATATGACTTGCAACAGCCACTGCCACAGGCACAGGCACAGCCACAGCCGCAGCAGCCACTGCCGCAGCAGCCACTAAATGTCGAGGCTGTCATATTGCAGAATCAGGTGGATACATTGCATTGGCAATTGAAACAGGTGAGTGGAGCCACACAGCAAACGAATGAACGAATGAACGAACGAATGAGTGAGTGAGTGTGAGTGAGTGTGAATGAGTGCCATTCGAATGGGCATTCGATTTCTTGGTCCCCGGAATAAAACAACAAAAGACTCAAGACACGAACGTGACTTGTGGATACATATCTTGTCCCCCCCCACCCCAACCGGCACCCCCCTGCACCCAGCCAGGCTCGACTTCTGTTCTCCATGGATCAACCTGTTTACCCCCCACACCGCCCTCCCCTCTATATCTCTTTTTATTTAAATAGTTCTCACGCTTAATTTACAAGTGGAATGGAAATGGAAATGTGTGGCATGAGATGTGTGGCATGAGATGTGTCCGAGTGTGTGTGTGTCTGTGTGTCTGTCTGTGTGTGTGGTGTAGAATGATTCCCATTCCCATTCCGGTTTCGAGGCTTGTTATGGCATTTCCTTTCCATTCCATCTGCTGTTCCTCTCTGCTGCCACTTCTATGATGTTCTTCCGTCTGTTGGGGCATCCCCCCCCCCAACCTCCCCACCCCTTGCGATGGCAATTAGGCGACGCGTCGCGGCGGCAAAATTCCGCCTTTGGACGCTGCTTAATTATAGACGAGACTCTGGCGGTGTGGCCCCCCCACCATCGACTTCTTCTAGATTGCTTTCGGCTTTGTTCATCATTTCATTGTCTTTTGTGGCCATTTCCTGGCATTCATCTTACACTTCCTTCAACAAAAGCAAACAAAGGCTTTGTTAATGGATCTGCAGGAGGAGCGAAAGAGGAAACTCCTTCGATTTGGGGTTACTCTTGGGCGAAACCTCTGTGATTTGATCGGCTCTCAAGAGCCCACAAATGATGGGGAAATGCATAATTATAGAACAGAAAGTAGCCCCCTCCATGGATATGGATCAAGTCGGGATTCCTTGGAACTCCAATCGGAGATCGAGAGTCGGAGATTCCATTGAGACTCGAGGCTTGAGACTCGATTGATTTGGCATACTAGGGCTACAAGGAGATGCCTCATTTGTGGATCTTTCATGGAAAAATGTGCTAGATGGAAGGGAAATGGAATTGTATGAAAATTTAAGTATTTTCTAAAGTATTTGCTAGAATATATGGTAGCATAAGGTATTGATGGGGAGGAGACGGTGGAACCTCTGTTCGGAGGTGTCCACATTGTGCCGCAGGGAGATGGCACCACCACCCAGGAAAGGGCTCCCAGCAAGCCTGGCAGCCGCCTCTACCCAATCATATCCACAAAGATATATGTGCCATGCAGAGAACGAAAGAAAACTGAAGACGACGACGGCGACGGCGATGGCGATGGCGATGGCATGACCCCAATCTCTGATTGGAATCAGTCGTGCCCCGGCCGAAACGGGTAACAGAAAACCGAAGAGTCACCTTCAGTGTCACTTTCCACCGGCAGTCCCCCCCTCCCCACTCGACGGACCCCAGCGCTTTTCTAACCCACTTTTTGTGGAGGCCTTAAGCCGTTCTGTGGTCTCATTTGTACGGCACTTTGAACCGGCGGACTGGAGACCAATGGATGACCTTCAGCGTGCAGCACGTGCGGCGTGCAACACTTTCAATTCCACGCATACGAGACCCCAGCGGATGTCCAGATACAGCCAGAGATACAAAGATACAACAGATACAAAAGATACAACAGACACCGGAGATGCAAGAGCGAAAATATTTACGCTTTCGTTTCGATTTAATGCGCTTTAAATGAGCCCCACAGCCCCACAGCCCCATGCCGCAGCCCCTTGCCCCCCCACGATTGAAGGTGACGCCTCTCTGGCTTGATGGAAAGCCGATGGAAAAGTGCAAACAAAAACAGAATGAAAATATGAAATATATTCCGTTTCTTGATGATGGAAAAGCGCAAAAGTGGGTTAGAAGTGGGTGGACCCCCGATTGATTGATTGATTGATTGATCGATTGATTGACCGGCTGGCTGGCTGGCTGGCTGGAGAGGAAAACAAATTTTGAATGTAATTTATGCCGAGCGAAAGGAAGCCAAGAAGCCAGATTTAGAGCTGGTTTTGGCCGCCTAAAAGGTGGCCTAATGGAGGTGCCACAGCTCCATGCCCCAGCCAGGAAGTGCGTTGCAGGGGATGGGGGAAGGGGGATCTGCTGCTGCCAGACAGAGCGTAAACCCAATCGGAGGGGGCGGCCGGAGTCCGAGAGCTGCGAAAGTATCTTCTATTTCAGCTCCAATTGTTCGATGAGTGTTTTTTTTTTTTTTTTTTTTTGTAAGCCAAAAACCATTAAAAGCCATAACAAAATCACTCGAAATCACTCGACAAAGCGCCAGCGAATTTCCACACATAATTTTCAAATAAATCTCAGACACACACGAAACGCGAAACGAAACGAAACGAAACGCGAGACTCGGCGAAACAATTCGCGAAATTCGCAAAAGGAAAAACCAAAAACCCAAAAGCCAAAACCCAGACACGCATCGAGGAAAACTCTGTAAACGGAAAACGTCCAATGCAAGGAAAATTAGCAACAATTTCCAAACTGCAGCCGGAGTGCAAGGCAGTGGCTGTGGCAGCGACTCCCATCGTGGCGGTGTGTCTGTGGCAGCCACTTACATAATCAGTGGCAGAGCCAAGAGACCAGCAACATTTTTGGCATCGTGTGAAGTCATGAAGCCCCCCTCCCCCCTGGCTTTTGGTGGTTTTTGGCCAATTTTCAAATGGTCTTTCGGTGGTGGGCGTGTGCCAGGTGGATTGGATTGGATGGCAATCTTAACGCCTATTTGAGGTCTCTGCCAATTTGGCAAACGACAGACGGGCGATGGCGATGGCGACACGAATGGCAGTCGATAATTAGACTTAAATTTGGCCCAAGAAGCGACGACACATTCCAGCGAGATGCTGCCCCACAGACCCACACACACACACACACACACACGCACAGAGAGCGGCAGAAAGAAAGGCCAGAAAGAGAGCCAGCCGATAGATAACAAATCAAGTGAAAGTTGCTGGTGCCACAGAAAAATCATGGAAGCATTAACAATTAACATAAATAATAAATTAAAGTCATTGTCATTGTCGATGATCGGCTGGTCGAACGCTGGTCGTCGTCGATGGTTGTCAAGGCAGTGACGTGACTCCCCCCCCGACCCCCCAACCCCCCCATGAACTGGCCGAACCTGAAAGAACGATAAAGATGGAGAGAGAGAAAGCAGCAGTAGAACGCACATCCTGCCCCCATTTCCCCCCCACCACCACCCACTTTCCTGCCACCTATATATGTAGTATCCATTCTGATCCTCAAAGAGCCTCTCCTTTCCTTTCTCCCCTTTTGACAGACCGAAACCAACTGCGAGATGTATCGCGCCGTCATGGAGGAGGTGGCACGCTTCTTCGAGCGCTACCAGCAGCAGCTGCATCTGCAGCAGACCCACCGCCACGGGGAGCAGATCGCACGCTCCAAGAGCCTGCACCATGTCCACGGAGTGGGAGTGGGCGTGGGCGTGGGCGGTGGCTCCTCGCTGCAGGGCGACCAGCGTGGCGATGCCCTGCTCCTGCACGATGAGGACCATGGAGCGTCTGCCTCGTATCTGCGGGCCCGGAGCAGCACCAATCTGATGCTCAACAAGTCGATGCACGCGATGAACGAGGAGCACAACTACGAGCCGATCGCCCCAGCCGGCAGCTACAATGCCTTCAAGGATTTCACATGGTAAGTGGATGCCCCCAACCCCCAACCATCTGTATCCGTCTCTGACTCTCTTGTTGACGCTCAGGCGACGCTCCCCGAAGAAAAGTGGAGGCTGCAAGGCCCGCCTGTCCGGCCCAGAGGCAGCCGAGGAGAAGCTCAACCAGGAGGCCTTCCGCCTGGCGCGCACCATCAGGAATCTGCTGCACACGTCCGAGCAGCAGCCGGATCTCACGCAGCCGCGCCACTCGCTGGCCTCCGTCTACTCGCTGCCCGGCAGCGGCAACGGAAACGCCAACGGAAACGGACACGGAAACGGACACGGAAACCACATGCCGCATCTCCATCGGCTGTGCAAGGCGAAGACCAGCTCCGTGATGACGCTCCTCCAGACGCCGCCGCGACACAACTCGACGAGCATCATGAATGCCAGCCTCTCGATGGAGGTGCCCTCGCCCTGCCCCTCGGCCTCGACAGGCGGCGGCTCTGGTAAATCCCATGCGGAGATGCTCTTCCTGCGGGCCAACACCATGCGGGACTCGCGCCTCTCGCTGCGCAGCTCCACCGACAGCTCTGTGCATTCCACCATCTCCTCGACGGCCTCCTCCGCCTCCTCGAAGATCGAAACGGACGAGGACACCAACAACAACAACAGCCAGACGAACAACAGCAACAACAACAACAACTTGACCACCACCACCACCGTCGGGAACAGCGGCAGCAACAGCAGCAGCACAGCCGCAGCCGCAGTCGCAGCCATGAGCCACAAGAAACAACAACAGCAGCCCACCAATGGAGGGGGAGGGGGAGGCGGATCGAGCAGCACAGAGGATGAGAGTGGATTCAGTTCCATCAGCTCCTTCCACGACGTGGGCCTGCCCCTGAGCTCCACCCTGATTGCAGGAGGAGGGGGAATCAATCACCAGAGTCGTCCTTCTGTCACCGCCACAGACAGCCGCAACTCGACGCTCAAGTCGGGGGCCCTGAATGTGCTGGGGGTGCCCGTGCCCCACCCGAATCCGCAGCAGAGCAATCCGCAGCCCTCGAAGACGACGTACAGGAATGCAGGCCGCTATCAGCGCTTCTCCACTCTGTCCAACGAGGATGCAGCCGCTGTGCTGTGGGTCTGAAATGCCCTCCATATCATTACTATTCTAGATCCTAAATTCTGTAGTTTGTAGTGTTTTTTTTTTTTTTGTATTTTTTGTATTTTGTATTCGCCAGACGATGAATCTGCAATGACCACACCCACACCATACACTTGGAGGAGAGGAGAGGAGAGAAGATGAGAGAAAAAGGAAGGAACAATCGCATTTTTATGTTAACATTTCGTGTAAATTTCATTTGAATTAAGTTTGACACTATTTATAAAATAAAATGTATAATTTATATAACTTTAGCTACGAAATTCCGAATTTCGAGTATTTGCGTAGAACAGTAGTCCGTGACTCTGGCGTCAGTCGTCAGTCGATGTTTGTGCGTGAAAGTGGATTGAAGTACGTTTCAGTCTACTGTTAGATATATATCCCATTTCGAAGCATTGGTGTTTTTATTTAGTTCCCAGAAATTCGTTCGCTCGACACTCGATAAAAAGTTTTGGTTTTCGGTTTTTGTTTGGAATTCGGTTGTGTTTTTGCCAAGAATACGATGGCCAGTGCTCAAGGAAAAGGCGGAGTGGAGGAGAACCCCAAGAAGGAGCAGAAGCAGCAGGATAAGCCGAAGGAGCAGACCAACGGTGAGAAGGAAAAGGACACCACCAATGGGCCGGCGGCAGCATGCCCGCGACACAGCCGCCATCCGCTGGAGAACGTGTGGACCCTGTGGTACTTGGAGAACGATCGCAGCAAGCACTGGAAGGACATGCTCACCGAAGTCGCGAAGATCGACAGCGTGGAGACCTTCTGGAGCCTGTACTACACCATCCGGCCGCCATCGGAGCTGAAGGTCGGATGCGACTACTCCATGTTCAAGCTGGGCATCAAGTAGGACAACCATCCTTCATCCTCCACCCTCCATTGCTTTTCTTCATCTAAACGACTTTTCTCCCTCTCCCAAGACCCATGTGGGAGGACGAAGCCAACAGCAAGGGCGGCCGCTGGCTGATCAGCGTCAACAAGAACTCCAAGGCCGAACTGGATCGCCTCTGGCTGGAGATACTCCTCATGATGACGGCGCGCATCTTCGAGAACTCCGAGGAGATCTGCGGGGCAGTGATCAATATTCGATCCAAGAACAATAAGATCTGTAAGTGCCCGAAATGGGATTCGTATCCAGACACAAAACACCCCCTAATGCCCGCTGCCGCTACTCCTTTAGCCGTTTGGACTGCCAACGGGAGCAACGAAGCAGCCATTCTGGAGATTGGCCAGAAGCTGAAGCTGTTCCTCCGCCTGCAGTCGAACAATCTGCAGTACCAGCTGCACTCGGACGCCATGTGCAAGTCCAATTCGAGCGTCAAGTCGATCTACACCGTCTAAGAGAAGACGACACTCAGATATCTTTCGATGTAAGGGCCAAAATTGTTAGCGAGACTTAAGTATTACAAATTAAACGAAGAAATGCCAGACAATTGTTTAAAATTAATCTTGTTTAATTATGAAAATTAATATTTTTTTGTAAAATTTACTCAGTAAACATTCACAGCGTGTTGCAGTGTGTGTTGCAGTGTGTCGTGTGGCAATCAAAGCCGACCGATCGGTCGATCAATGGATGGGAAATCGGATCTCGATCTCCAGACACTACTCTACGATTGTGTGGTGACACGGACACGATTACGGGTTACGGGTTACGGGTTTACATATACGCATCTCTCTCTTTCTCGACAGAGAGAGAGGGAGGGATAACTATTTACAGTTGGATCATACAATCGGTCATAATCATATTCGATATTCGATATTCGATGGTCGATATTCGATGGTCGACGGTGTGCGGCGGCAAACGCTTCAACATTTGCCATCTGCTGCTCATCGACAAGCGACAAACTTAACGATACATTTGTTCTACGATCTAAACAATTAATACGAAAAAAAAAAAATGTTTAAAAAATACAATTAATTTCTGCTTCTGTTTCCGTTTCTGATGTGTTCTGTGTTGTTGTCTGTGAGATTACGAATTCGAAGATGCCTCGAGTTGTGCGGCATGGAATTGGGAGAGATATTGGGAGGCGATCCGAATCGATCCCGACTCTAAATGCGGCCCACGCTGACGCCCACGCCGGCCTTGCTCTTGCGCGTGGGCTGCACAGACATTGGGGGCACCACCAGCGTTTCCGACTGCGTCGATGGGGAGCTGCTTCTCATGCTGGAGCAATCGTCTTCGTCGGCCACTTCCTGTGAATGAAAGATCAACACAAAGGGAATGAGAACACCCTTAGCGGTGGAGGGGGGATCGATCGATCGCTTTGCTTACGTTAATATTTCTGCAGCTGTTTGCTGCCAAACGCATCTGGGCCAGCTGGGAGGAGGGCGTCAAGGAGTTTGTGCTGCCAAAGGGCGAGGTCATCATGGTGGAAACGGCTCGTTTCAGCTTGTTTGGGGTCTTGTTGAAGGAGAAGGCGCGACCCACCTAAAACAGCAGACAGGCAGAGAGAAGGAGAGAGAGAGCGCATCAGTAGGTGTATTTCCAGAGAGAGAGAGAGAGAAAGGGGGGGAAAACCCACCTTCAGGCGCGTCTTGGCTGCCAGCTTGAAGGCCTTGCTCAGCGTGCTGACATTCACATCGCTGATGTCCACGTCCAGCTCCTGGGAGGAGTGGCAGAGCAGCAGCTTGTCCGCGTCCGTGCGGCACATGTGGGCGGCTATCTGGTTGCAGAGCTTCTTCATGTAGCTGATCTTGTCCGTCTCCTCGTCGTTGATGGTGAACGTGTAGAGCTTCTCCTTCTCGCCGCGCAGCAGCAGGCCGAAGGCGCGCGGGCTGTCCGAGATGTCGATCACGAAGCGGATCGTGTTGAGGGATATCAGCTTGAGGTGCTTGTGCGGCTTGCCGGTGCTCGGGGACTTGACGGTGTTGAAGCCGCGCGAGCGTCGCTTGCACAGCTCGATGGAATCGGAGAAGAGGTACAGCAGAAGGCTGTCCCCCCGCCCGCTCAACGAGTCGGAGAGCTCGTTCACCTCGCACTTGGCGATGAAGCTGCGGTTGGAGCTGACGAGGTGCGCCGGACAACCATCGATATCGTTGAATATATCGAAGATGGCCATGCGCGACTCAGTGCGCCGCTTGTCCTCGTTGATGTGCAGCGTCACCTGCTTGATGGCCTTCAGGGCCTCCTCCAGTCTCTCGTGGTCCGCATTGCTGCTGCCCGTGTGCTTCAGGATGTCCTTGAGCAGCAGACTAATGCTGGGCAGGCGCTGCACGGGCCTGATCATCAGGTCCTGCAGGCTCTGGCGGCCGCACTCGGGCTTCGTCTGGTTGATCTTGAGGAACGCATGGAAGCGGGGGTACTCGCGGTCGCAGTACTGCAGCTGCTCCTTCATCTGCTCGTAAAAGTTCACGTACGGCGGATACGCCTTGATCAGCTCCTCCTGGTGCCCGATGATGATGTCCCCGATGAGGCAGTCCTCCCGCCAGTTGGCATGCAGCTTCCGCAGGTGCTCCAGCATGCTCTGGTGCACCTCGTGGATGGGCAGAAAGTTGCCAAACACCGATTTGATCTCCGACTTGTTCAGCAGCGGATCATTCGTCTCCGCCAGTTCCTCCAGTTTGTTCTTAAAGAGCTGCACAAAAGGGCAAACAGCCAAGAGATTAGACCTCGAAGGGGAATATGGATGGGATCTAGGGGGCACCTACATTCAAAATGGTATCCAGTATGCCGACATAGTTGGATTCTGTGGTGAAGAAGTCCATGAAGTGGTTGAAGCGCATGGATCTCTTCACGGGCGTGCCATCGATGGGCTCCGGCTCGGAGTGCAGCAGCAGCTTGTCGTCGCTGTCCAGCAGTTTGTCCGGACTCGTGGTGCAGTCGAACAGGCTGTTGGAGACGGACAGGAGGCCGGCATCCGACACAGAGGAGCGTCGCTTGCCCGAGCCCAGCGGCGTGCCCTCCAGCTGGATGCGCTGCGACAAACGCTTGCGTTTCCTCTTGTTAAAGCTGACGGGCAGCGAGTCCCGACGGTCCGTGTTCGGGGTATTCGTAATGCTATCCAGATACTGGCCGAGAAAGTGTCAATGACAAGTGAACAAAGTAGGGAACAGTGACAAAGCTAAGGATACTTACGTCTCCGAACAGATAGTCCATCTCGTTGGCATAGCCATTCTGTATGGTATACCAGAACCAGTCTGATTTCAGGATGTGTGTGTTATTGCTCTTGGTGTCGGGCTTCGCGACGGTCGTGTGCTCGTCCACCACCTGAACGGACGATGGAATCGATTTAATTAGTTTCCGAGCGATCCATTGATCACAATTTATTCGCGAGGATTGAAAGGGGGAATGCAGACAGAAAAAATGTTTTGTTTTGCTCTGCCTCGAGGCAATTTTTAATTATACGCAAAGTCTCAATCAAGCAGTCAATCTATACACTCGATAGACATAGATATATATAGATGGATGGATGGATGGATGGATGGATAGATGGATAGATGGATAGATGGATGGATGGTTGGGTGGTTGGGTGGTTGGGTAGTTGGGATAGCAGAGCAGCACAGCAGCAGCACAATAAATTTTCTGTTTCTCGAATTGAAAAATGCAAAAAAGGACAAACAAAACATTTTTAGTGCACATTTTTCTTGGGGCAAACAAAAAGAAACTTTGAAACGGCAAATGGAATGGCAGGGCATGGCATGGTGATGGGGCGGGGAGGGGTAAAGGTGCAGAACATAAATGCAAATTGTTTATCCATCGAGAGAGAGAGGGCGAGGGAGAGGTAGAGGTAGAGGTAGGGGGTGGAGAAACATTTGTGCAAATATTCGGGTAAATGAAGCAAAAACAATAATAATATTCACCTAAATGGAAACGAAATGAATTTGTTGGGCACCCCGGACCCCGCGTTTCCCGTTCCCATTCCATTCTATTATTTATCTACTTTTTTTGGCTGCTGGTGGTGGCATTTCTTTTTTTTTAACATTTATTCAAGCTGAACGAGGAATTTCTGTGTCTGTCTGTGGATCTGGATCTGTATCTGTCTCGGTTTTTGTTTGTTTTCTTAAACAAATGGCTACTTGAAGTATTTATTGTGCCGCTCTATTGTGTGATTCTGTGCGCTGGCTATGCAGGTGGAAGTGGAGGAGGAAGTGGGGCTGGAGGTGGAGCTGGAGGTAGTAGTAGACACCAAAAGAAACCATAAATAAATTATTTACAGAAACTACAGACACCGCACCAAATTATAGGTTCAGACTTAAGCTACACATTCATTAACCATTAAATAACAATTAACAATTTCTTATTTAGGAGTGGGGGATGGGAGGGGAATGGATATAGGGTATGGGGATTGGGGGGCAACTGAAAAAATGCTCCAAAAAAAGTCAAATAAATGTAATGGAATGGAATGGATTACAAATGACATAAAACCTTAATATTTATAGGCGATATACAAAAAAAAAAAAAAACACACTTGGATCCCTAAGAGGAGTGAGGAGTGAGGAGTGATTCCCTGTCCCTAGATATCCTTTGCCGTTTCAAAGACTTGTTCCTCCCATCGAAAGCATATAGATAGAAATATTTGGGAGGAGGAGAACATATAAAATACCATTTGCATGGGCTCGCTTGCCGACCCTTCGGGGGAATCTTCTTCTTTAATATCTTGAACCGCGCTATGCCCAGCAGCAGCAGCAGCATCAGGAGCAGCAGCAGCAGACGACGATGATGATGCGTTGACGACGACTGCAGCAGCACAGAAAGCCATGATCGATGACGATGTCGTTTTCGATGTCGGTGTGTATGAGGTGTCGTTGGTATCGCAGCTGGCCTTTGCAGTGGAATTGAGGGGGAGCTGGGGACTGGGACTGGGGGAGGGGGAAGGAGCGTTAGTGAAGGCCAAGGCAGACACGACACCGGAGACGGGGCCGAAGAGGCGCTTGGAGTTCTTCGGCGTGGCAGAGGATCGTTGCTTGGGTGCCTTCGGAGTCTTGAAGCCGCTGTCCATGGGCTGCGGCGGCGCGTAGGAGCACTCGGGAGTGCCTTCACGATCGCGATCGCGTTCCTTTTCGGCGCGTCGAGTGCTGCTTCGTGTGATGCGGCTGCAGATGTTGCGGAGCCCCTTCACGGGCCGCTTGATCGATTCGTTCAGCGAGGCCATCGAGCAGAAGGAGTCGTCGGCCACCTCGCTGCCCAGAATGTTGTAGGCATCGACCCCCGCAATCGAGCTGCGCCGCGGCCGCAGCACATTCTTGAGCGGCTCGGCCACGAAGCTCACGGAGCGACGGAGGGTGCGCGAGATGGAGCCGTGGCGGGTCAGCTTGGGCTTCTTGGTGCTCGCCGGCAGGACGTACGAGTCCACCGAAATCAGGGACAGGTTGTCGATGCTGTCGCGCTTTCGCTTGAGATCATTCTCAGTGGCTGGCTCCGCCACCGGCTCCACCTCCGCGAACAGATCGTCCGTCTCCATGTCACACTCGTCGATGGCCTTCAGGATGGGCGATATGTTGGGCGTGTCGCTCTGAAAGTCCAACGCCATCGCCATTCCCATCGTCGCCTCTTTGGTCTTCATTTCAGGGGAACTACTGATGGGCGTCTTAATGGGCGTGGCCGTGGTGAGGCTGATGCGCGGCTTGCTCGTCTTCGGAGTGCTGGCCTGGACATCCTCAGGGTCCGGCTGCGGCTGCGGCTGCGGCTGCGGCTCTTCGTCCTCGTCGGACTCTGGCAGCTGATCGTCGCCAGCATTGTGCAGGACAGGTGCCGTCTCCACGAAGAGACGCTCGTCGAAGAAGATGTCCTCCTCGTCGTCGTCCTCTTTGGGCTGCCGCTCGTTCTCCTTCTCCTCGAGCGCCTGCTCCAGGGCCCGCGCCATGCGTCCTCCGACTCCTCCTGCACTATCGATCTCCGCCTCATCCATGGGTTCGTCTTCGTTTGCCGCCCCGCCTGCTGCCCGCGCGCTGCCTAGCGACGTTGTGGGTGTCTGGAGGGAGCGTGGCTCCCCGCCGACGCTTGTTGTGGGAGTGGTGGGTAGTGGTTGTGGTTGTGGTTGTGGATGTGGTTGTGGTTGAGGGTTAGTTAGTGAGCCTAAGCCTGTGCTTGTGCTTGTGCTTGTGCTTGGGTTAGTATCAGTGCTAGAGCTAGTGCTTGTAAGTACAGCGCCCGTATTGGGCATCACCTGGAAGACAGACACGTGGAGTTTATGGCTAGTTGATGTTTGTGGCTAAGAGGGGGGCATTCCAAAGGAGAACAAGAGACCCAAAATGACACTACGGCATGCATTCTACGTTCTGGGAGGGGGGCGGGAGATGGAGCTACGGGAGGGGGGATGCGTTCGGATTGGATGGATTCACTCACAACATGCGAGCACTCGGGATCGTCCAGGTCGGCACAGACGCCGCCGTTTTCCAGCAGCACGTCGACCATGTGCTGGTGCTCCTCGGCGGGGAAGCCAAAGAAGCAGACCTTCTGGCCCTCGAACGCCTTCAGGCGGTGGTTCTTGGTGAAGCCGTCCTGCGTGGCCTCGAACTGCACGTTGTCGCGGTCCGTCCAGGCAGCGTACACCCAGTCGGGTCGAACGACACTCAAACGGAAGGTCTTGGCGTATCTAACGAGAGACGGACGATTAGAGAGTGACAGGGGAATGGAATCAAGGCCGCTCTACTCACTGGTACTTGGCGCCGCCGCTGTGACTGCAAATCAAATGCGTTGTCTTGGGGTTCATGTCCTTCTTGATGCAGCCGCCCATGGAGTGGATGAGGTGCACCAGTTTCGTCTGCAAAGGGAGGAAGAGGAGGATAATCTAATTGAAGGATCCTCCGGGGAGAGAGAGAGGGAGAGTTCCACTCACCAGCTCATCCTTCTTGCGTATGCCCGTGAAGCAAGTGACGACGCCGCGCATCGCGTAGTTGTAAATGGGCCGCGAGTTGTGGCCCAGCGTCTGCTTCATCTCTGCCGCGTACTTCAAAGCGGGCGGGCCCAGAATGCTGCAAAAGATAGACAGAAGCAGATACAGATACAGATGCAGATGCAGATGCAGATACAGATGCAGGGGATCCCGAGAGACAATTAAAATTAAATATTTATGTGGCACACTTTTGAGTTATGCAAGGCAATCTGTTTGTGGCGGCTGCAATGCTTTTATGCCCGCACTGACCTTGCCGCAGCCGTGATTCGATTGCGAATCGGTTGGGTATCGGCTATTACCGATAGCGATAGCGATAGCGGAGATCGATCCCTTTGGCGGCAACCTCTGAGGCGCAACTGAGGCGAGAAATTGATTTCAATTTGTGTGGCGCTGCGATGCGAGAGATATTATTGAACTTTGACTCGGATGGATGCCCATTGCCCCAACGCCCTCTGGCTTTTTCCAGTGTTTATCCGACGGCCAGCCGCAGCCAATCCTCGGCCTCGGCCTCGGCCTCGGCCTCCCTTCTTCGTCCGGCAGAAGCCGGAAGTTTTTATAAACAAATCAATCGGAATGGAACGGAAGTGCAGTTGCAGCCTGCCGCCTGCCGCATGCCGCATGCAGCCGCCACTCAAGCATTGTTCCCATCTCGTTGCCCATTTTTGTGGGCGTACGAGGCGTATGATGCACGATCTGTGATGCACGATCTGTGATGTGTGATGCGGCGTTTATTTATGATACATTTTTGAAGCATGCTCCTCTGCCCCTTAGAGGAGTAATTTAATTTACGAGTATCCCCCCAATCCCCCTCCCCCATTCCCCCATCACGGGTGGGCGGAATTGCAAAAACAATCTGCGGTACACCCGAAAATTGAGTAATCCCGAGGGTGGGGGGTGGGGGAATTCCTGTTAATTTATTTGTGGAAAATTTGAGGGATACTCTGGAAAGGCAGATGGAAGCATTTGGAGGTTCCACGGGGTTCCGATCTCCCCAGAATTGTTCCACATTCACATGCCTCTAAAGGAAAGGCGTTTCACTTGCAACACACACACACACACACGCACACACGCACACATTTACACTTGATCTTGGACTTTTCTCGTGTTGCACTTCCTGTTGGCTTTCACTCATTTGCCACATATCATCTTACAGATTTACACTTTGCCACACAGCCACAGCATGCCACAGCATGCCACAGCATGCCACAGCATTTCCACAGCATTTCCTTACCAACAAAGGAAGATTTCCATATGCACAAATATTTGTCACTGCCAGACGAAAGAATCTGTGTATCTGCGAGATTCTATTCTGTTTTGCTGCTTTCTGTTGTCACTTGTTCTGTTGTATCTTGTATCTTGTATCTGTGATTCAGCCCGGGAATGTGTGTATAGGTCGTGCCTGATTCTGGCCGTATCCGAGCGGAGCAACTAAACAAACACAACTGCTGCGGCGACTGGCACCCGTTGCTGGGTATTGAATGATTGAATAAACGATGGGGACGGGACGATGGAGACAGCAGCCCCACAGCCGCAGCGGCAGAGAGCGAGCGTATGGAAAATGGAAATAGAAAATGCCTTGTCCACCCGCTGCTCCTCCTCCTCCGCCTCCTCCTCCTTGTTGCCACTTAATATGTGAAGCATTCTCACAATGAGAGATAGATCTCTCACAGAGAGAGAGGGAGGTGACAAATCCACAAAGAAAGCTAAAGCCAAGACAGACACAAGTTGGAATCTCCCCAGAGAGAGAGAGAGAGAGAGAGAGAGAGAGAGAGGGAGAGACGTATTTTTCACAAAATTCCAAAGAACAATTAAATAATTTTCAAAAGTCGACTCAAGGAAAACCCAGGAAAATTCTCTTGTGCTTAGTCAAAGCATAAAAATGCGCATCGCACGCGCCAACAATGGAGCGGCAGAGGGCCTCCTTCGGATCGCAATGGATTGGCCTCCACAATGGAGGAGGGGGTCGAGGGGGCTGGGGGCAGTTCTAGGGGGCAGATTGATGGATGTGGCAAAGGCAAAGGCAAAGGCAAAGGGGCACTCTTGGGGCACATTGTAAAGTGCGCCGATCTTTGGCTGCTGCTCTGCCCCGACACTCCGACACCCCGACACTCGGAGGGGCACTCGAACTTTGCGAGGGTCAAAACTATAGAACAGTCAATGACATGTCGTTGGCGGACTCGCACTCCTCAGTCGTCCCCATTCCCATTCTGCGTTCTGCCTCAATTAATCTGCCATATACATATATCGAAACTTATAAATTATATTATATATACAAAACGTACAATACGTATTCGTATTCGTATTCGCATTCGTATTCGCATTCGTATTTCATATAAAATGAGTTAATAAAACTGTGCGTACATTTTTCTTGATTTTCTTTGGATTTTCTTTGGGGTTTTTTTTTTTGTGGTACGGCAGGAATTTCCGTTGCTGCTTTCCACACCACTCTCCTCCGTACGATTTGACATCGTTCGTTTGCATTTTTATAGAATCTTGGCGCCAAGAGATTGCTGCAATGCCAGCACCAGGGGGGCTCCTCCGCCGCTGGCCCTCCCAGGAGAAGACCAAATAAAAAATAAATAAATGCCCAACAGCAAAATATAAAAACAAACGACGATTCATTTTCGATTTCTGTAGAAATACGCAAAGTTCTTCATCCGAAAGTGTCATTTATTTATAATTTATAAGATGTATTTGTATTTGTATTTGTATTTGTTTTCACAAGTTAATGTTTTTATTCGATGCCAAAATAGGCAACGACTTCCCCCATGAATGGATGAATGGATCATCGAAATGGGGGATTTGCCAGCGAATTCCTCAATGATTCAGATACTCAGATGCTATATACAGAGGGATACTCTGTCTCTCTTGTGTGTGGCATCATTTTTGGGCGGAGGTTAAGTGGCCGTTAAGTGCTTTTCTGGGTTTTTCGCGCTTTTCCTGGGAATTCCTCATTAAAAACTGTTCGATTCGATTCGATTCGAATTTCCCCTGCCCCTGCCCCGAATCGCTTAATCGTGGAATTGTGCAATGACAATGATCAATAGACAGTTTTCCATTCTCATGACAAAATCAAACAAAAAATATTTGTTTACGAAAATAATTAGCAACTTTCTTGCCAATAAATTATCTGTTCTACGTTGTGTTCTAGTTTTAGTAAACAGAATTTAATTCCAACTGGAAATGTATTTTTCTTCTCTGAATTAGTATCAACAAAAATAAAACTTGTACAACTTTGGGAAGTGCCATAAAAAATACATTCGAATGCGAATGAGAGCATGAGAGCATGAGAAACAGAAACATAATTAGCAAAGAGCTGAAAGAAGAAGAAAGAAAAAACAGAAGAGCCGAAAGCCCGAACAAAGAAAATCAAATGTTGAATATTTGCAATAACAAAACGAACAGAACGGAACGGAATAGAATAGAACGGCGAAACATGAATGAAAATCTATGAAATAAATAATAATTCTTAATGGGGGAACGGTAAACGGGAACGGGGGGAAAGGGGAACGGGGAACGGAGAACGAGCGCTTCTTCCGCTTCTGCAGAATTCCCTTACGCTTACGGCGTTGCAAAAGTGTTGAGAACATGAAAAGGAAAAACAGACGCCCACCCACCCAACACACCACCTCATCTTCCTGTGCCACCCATACCCATTCCCCTCCCCCTCCCTCTCTCTACCACCCTGAGTGTACGTACGTACGTACATAACAATTTCCACGCATTTGGTGACCTCCACGAAGCGAAAAATGCTCGTAAATAAATGTTGAACCAGAGCTAAAGAATCACCAAAAGTTATGTTTAATCACTAATGAACGAGAGAGCATGCCTGCCAGGGGGGAAAGGGTGCAGGGAGAGGGGTATTCCACCATTACTACGCAGCAGGCAAATTAATCAAGCGTGCAAAAAAAGAAGAAAACGAAAAAAAAAAAAAAACAAGAAGAACAGAGCAAACACAACAACAGCAAAAGAAAAAGAACCACAAATTTGCGCAAGTTTCAAATTTGACAATTTGTAGCCATAGAAACCACAACACAAGATCCAAAAGTCGACTATCGGATACGCTACTCGCTCCGCAGCTGCTCCATCAGGCGAGTAAATATGAGCAAGGCAGAGCACCGCATAGAGTTTGTGTAGAGTATGTGTACCGGTAAATGCATCGGAGTGTGGACTGAGTGTGGACTGCTGCTGTGCGTGGCGTATGACGCGCTGTCAATAATGGGTTCCACAGGAGGGAGAGAGAGAGAGAGAGAGAGAAGCAGCGGCAGCACGCGTGTGTCTCGATTTCAAATTCAATTTGTTGTCGCCGCCGATGATGGTTATGGAACTCTTTGGCTCTTTCGGGGAACACATGTGACAGATTTGTGTCTAATTTAAGCAGTACTGAGACTCTGACTCGGCCTGGCCTGTGGCTCTTGTTGTTGCTATTTTTGGGGACGGGGCTAATAATAGCCGCCACTGTGGACCAGTGACTAGTACTCACCATTCCTTCTGCTTGTGCAGCGCCTGAAAGTTGTCGCCCTCAAAGTCTCCCATCACGTAGAAGGTCCGCCATTCCTTGTCGTCGGCGGTGTCCAGACCAGAGTCGGATGTTATAACGGGCAGGCCGAAGCTCTCGGCTGCCAGCAGCGTGTCCGCGTCCTGGCCAACGTTGCCCACCAGGCAGATCCGTGTGGGCAGCGTTGTAATGAACATCTCTGTGGAGAGGGAAACGGATCAGAAATGGGAATAAGTGCATGTCGGGCATAAATCAAGCAAATCTATACACCACCAGCCCGGGCACAGGGTCTACGCAATGATACCCTGTAGGTGCTGCCTAGTATCTGTTATCTGTTGCATCCCTCAAATACTGATTCAAAAGTCTATTTTACACATTTCTTCGTCCATCTCGGAGCAGGCCCTCCCCCTTGGACCTGTCTTGTTTACAGGGTATTGGGAAAAGTTTTTGTTGTGATTTATGGCAAAATTTTGTGGATTTGTTTGTTTATGCAATTGAGTGAGTGCGGGACAGAGACACACAGACAATGAGAGATGAATGGATGGAGAGAGGCAGGGAGGGAGGAAGCAGGCAATTGTGCAAAATAAAACGAGGGGGAACGTTGTGAGTTGCTGCGGACACCGCAACTCTACGGTTATACCCGATACTAAGTCAGTATGGCTCTCCTCCGGCAGACGCCGCTAATATTTAACGACACGACAAAGAGTGCGTGCGAGAGAGACAGAAAATCAGTCTGAGCGTGACGTCGGGCGCTGCGTAGCCAGTGCAAATTGATTTGCTCCTTTTGGCTATGAAAATGATCTGATCTGATCCAGATTCAGCAACCTGATAGATATGGTTATTATCTATGATTCTGCGTTTTTAGTTTTCTCAAATCTGCAATATTGTGGATGCAACAGATTTTCGTCCTTTGTGGGGGCGGATGGGGGTGGGGCGAAATTCTGAGATATACGTTTTATAGTGACATCTTAAAGGAGTGTGTGTACCAAATTTGGTTACTCTAGCCTTAATAGTCTCTGAGATTTGTGGTTGCCTCAGATTTTCGTCCTTTGCGGGGGCGGAAGGGGGTGTGGCGAAATTTGGACAGGAAACGGTCAAGGTCCGATATCACAGGAGTGTGGATACCAAATTTGGTTGCTCTGGCTTTTATAGGTTCTGAGATCCTTGAACTCATATTTTGCAATTGGCAAAACCGACCATGAAACCTGTGTGTTAGAGTGAGACAGAGCGAGAAAGAGTGAAATTGTTTTCGTGATTCTGGCTGTAATAATTATACGATCTGGTTCAGATTTTGCACTCTAGAAGATATAGTCATCTTCTACGATTCTGCGTTTTTAGTTTTCTCGTATCGTCAAAATTGTGGATGCCACAGATTTTCGCCCTTTGTGGGGGCGGAAGTGGGCGGGGCAAAGTTTTGAAATATTTTTGGAGCAGTGACATATCACAGAAGTCTGGATCCAAAACATCGTTGCTCTAGCTCTTATAGTCTTTTAGCATTAGGCGCTGAAGGGGACGGACAGACGGACAGACGGACAGACGGACAGACGGACGGACGGACAGACGGACAGACAGACATGGCTCAATCGACTCGGCTATTGATGCTGATCAAGAATATATATACTTTATGGGGTCGGAAACGATTCCTTCTGGACGTTACACACATCCACTTTTACCACAAATCTAATATACCCCAATACTCATTTTGAGTATCGGGTATAACAAACAAAATAGAGATACGAAATAGAGAAGAAACAGAACAGAGCAGAACAGAACAGCAAAAACCAACACCAATATAATCCACACACATACACATGCACAGGGAAGAGGAAAGCGAAGAGCGGAGGGTGGAACGTAGGTGGAGAATGGCAATGTGGGCTGTGTTTTTGGGACAGAATCCTCAAGCAATGGGCTGTCGATCATTAGGAACGGAACCACAAATTGTGAGCTGTTGACATCAATTTTAATTGTGCCGAAGAATCCGAAGGAGAGGCAGCCCAGAACAGTGAGGGGGGGCGGGGTGGAGGAGGCAACTGCAAGCGGGCAGGGCTTTTAGCTCAGCCACCCACATAGGGACAGGCACGGGCACCCACCCAAGTGCAGAGAAGCAAAGTACAAGAGCACGATGGGGGCTCTAGAAAACGTTTTCAAGTGCAAATCATTTACCCCCAATCGACATGAGCGAGGAAAGTAAAGAGAAAGGGGGTGGGGGAGGGGGCAGGAGGCAGGGGCAGAGGCAGAGGCAGAGCCAGAGACGAGAGAAATGCGGCAGCTTTTGTGGCATTAATTTTATCCAGAATTGTGCAGCTGTAACCGATGCCAATTGTATCTGCATCTGCATCTGCACTTGTATCCGTATCTGTATCTGTGCACTGGCGAGACATTCGCCACTTGTGCAATTGAGGCAAAGTCCAGGAACTGCAGAAGATCCCCCAACCAAACCGAACAGGGGAGCGTGGTGGGAGTGGCAGTAGGAGTCTCTCCTGCTCTCTCTCTCTCTCTCTCTCTCTCTCTTGTGTTGTCGTTCTCCTACGTATCGGCGGAATCTCCAGATGGATTATAATTCCAGCAATGCAATGCATGCCCGAAAGCAGCAAACAGATGCACTTGCCACTCACCTAATGGTTGGGAGGGGTCGCGGAGGGGGGGATTTATGGACTAGGAACATTTCTCAAATACATGGAATGTCTGCAATCCATACAGAAATAACTTAGGAATGTCGAACCTTGAAGTTTGTACAACTTTAATCTTGATCGTATTTCATCAGGGGAATCGGAGAATATTCTGGGAATGCCAGATTCATTGGGAATTCCGAGAGAATAGTGCAACAGGGAGGAGGAGGCCGGGCAGGGGGGGGAGGGGGAGGGAACTGTCACAACAATTTAGAACAATTGTTTTACAGGCTTTGATTGCTAATGGTTTTTAAACACAGAAATGATGTTGCTCCCAGAAATGATTAATAACGATCACGAATTCTATGAATTGCAGTCGCGAGTGGTGCGTTTTCCATTTCCCCTGCAAATTTCCATGGAAATAGATCCGCGTTTTGGAGAATGTTTATTTTTTGTTCTCGGCTAAACTCTCAACCTCAACCCCGCTTAAGTGCTGACCCTCATTGATCCCTCCACAGTCCACCCCTGAGCCTGGCAGGGTTACACCCCCGGGCACTCGTAGATATACCTGTAAAACCCTCGTACACCTGACAGATGCCCTCCTGCCGGAGCTTTGTCTGTCTGCTGGGCTCCTGCTCGCCATATGTGAAGTACGAGGCAGCCTGCCGCTGGACCGTGACCAATTTCTTGCTGTTGCTTTTGCTGTGGCAGCCGAATGAGAGCCGCGTAACGGGCAAGTGCAACATGTTGCTTCTTCCACACCAGATCCTCAGGGATCAAGCACCGAACTGTAACTAAAGTCGAGGCAGAATCGTGAGACCTGCAGCAAGCTGTTTCGCACAGCCACAGGTGTTCGCGTCCACCAAGGGTCCAAGGGGAAAGGGAACGAAAGGGAAAGGGAAGGCACGGCAATGGAGGAATATCGCATGCAGAAACGGCCCTCACAGGTGGTGGTGCGGCAGCGCAGGATTCTCCCTTGCGATGGGAACCATTTTTCGCCATTTGGGAATTTCTTCGTTCTTCGTTCCGTTCTGCCTGAGCGGATTTCGCTGTTGTTTTCTGATCTCTTTGGCTGCCTGCCAGAAACCTGATGAAAAACTAATTGAGTGGCATTTGAAAAATGAAAAGCCAAGTGAAGACATGAGTGAAGAGGGCGGCGGATTGTGGGCGGCCGGCCTGGCCTGGCCCGGCCTGGTCTGTTCGTAGTCTTTTGTCAAACAGCAGAAAGAGACTCATCAAAGAAAAATCTTGTAATAAAATTACGTGTCCCGAAGAGGAGAAAGCCTTGACGTAGAGGCGAGCAGAGCAGAGAACCTAGAGACAGACGGCAGGCAGGCAGAGCAGACCTTCGAGGCATGTAAAAATGCCATTAACATTGAGGCAGACGACACGAACGACCCCTCTTCTCTGAATATCGGCATGTGCGCCTCTGTCAACATGTGTAATAGGTAGGACAGGGAGAGAGAGAGAGTGAGCGGAGGGGTGGAAAATCAAAGGACGAGCAGGCGCAACTGCACTACTCGCACACGCACACGCACTCGACCACAGGAAGAGGATCTCTCTAGCGACCCTCTACCTGAGGGAAGTAGGCAAGGCCAGTGGTGTCTGGCTTGCAGCTAAATCGTGAGCCGCAGAGGAAAGGAATGCTAATGCAGGGCGAAAAAAAGCTAAATGGCCAGCACTGATAGCAGGAACTGCCGCTATTCTGTTGTCGTTTCTTCCTCCTTTTCTTACGCCAGCCCTGCTTTGGGCGGTACGGAACGGTACGGTACAGTGCCGGCGGTGAGGGGCGCACCGCATTTTGCACACCCAAGAATTCTTCTTATGCGATAAATATTTTCTACACAGAAATAAATTCAGAAAATAAAAAGCTTAAGATTCCCTGACGCGCTGCCATGGGCTGTATTCTTTTTTTTAGTCAGTGAGTATGTACTTGTGCACATATACATACATACGTGTGTGGATGAGTGTTTATTTGCTGCCAGAGACATTTTTTATGAGGATCTTTTGGCCCCGACTGTGGTTTCACCCTCCCCCCCTGACTCCCCTACTCCACACCGTGCCTCTGGCGACATTGAAAATTGAAATATGCGTTTCGTTGTGGGCTGGGTCGAGGTGTGGGGGAGGCCAAGGAGGTGCTGGCTGGCCCTGCCCTGTCTCCCTCTCAGTACTCACCGCATTTCGATTGCTCCTCAATAGTTTCCATTTCGATAAAGACACTCACGCACACGAAAACGGAACACAGTCAAAAACAAACCCAAGGAGTTTTTCGGAATTATCTAGTTTGTGACCGTCAATTTTGTGAACTATTGAAGCCTGGCCCGCTCATGCATGCGTCGTCCATTGCCAGGGCATCGTTTTGTTTAATATCTTTCTTGTCAATTGCTCAATTAAAAAGCGGCGCGCAAAAGAACAAAGTGCGCGCACACACACACACAAATAAAACACACAGGAACAGCCGGCGAACGGGGACACGAACAGAGAGGCGGGAAAGGGGTGAGCGGCAGCGTCCGTCGCTTTATATTTACAATTAACACACTTGCACCTCGGAATTTGCTCAAATAATTGCAACAACTAAAAGATAAACCATTTAAGCGGCTTGCACTCTGCTAGGGTACGCGCCACGGCTGCGCGTCGAAATTAAAAATCAAAATTCAACGGCCAAGCACGTCCGGTTACTCGCACTTTTGTTTCCCAGCTGTGACTTGTGGGCTGTATATGAATCTTCCGATTACTGAAATAATTTGGAGAAACTATCTCGTTTACGTCGCACCCGTGAAAAAAAATAATATTTCTACTTTTCCAGCTGTCTAGACGACAATTTTAACAATTTTGACGAGGAAACATCGGACTTATCGATGAGGTATACGGTCTGACCCTCGGAAATATACCGAAACATACCACCTCATTTTCAAAATATACCGTAAATATACTGACGAGCTCAAGTTCTATTATACATATTCCTCGTTTTTAATATTCCGACGAATATTACTAGCTAAATAGAACATTTAGCCATGCCCACATAATTTTAGAACAAAGATGAATCAATTTTCTACACAATTGGTTAGTTTTTAGTTCTTGCTTTTATTGTATTTTGACTAAAACAAGGTTTAAACAAAATAGTTCAACAAAAAAAACAGTCGCAATGTTGCTGGTATTTAAAGACATGATGCGTGTATAGCCCTTTGTACACCCTATTTCGTTAATTTTATATGAAGATCAAACGTAATTTATTAAGACTTTTTCTCAAATTGATATTCTTTAGACATATTCAAGTACATAATTAGTATCTTGTATACATTTATGTCGATCCTGATACCTACTGAGCCTTGGAAGACAAACGTATTCATAGTTCTATAACATCCATTTCCCCCAGGGTATGTGTGCATGGAATTAGCAACATGTTTGTGCATGGAATGGGACTCATTGTTGCAATATCGAAACTGCGGCGAATCGGGTATTGCCTATATTTCAAGCTATATAGATTTGCACACTTAGCTTTATCCCATAGATAAATGTATTTTCTACAAGATTGCTTCTTTTAATTACCTTTATGTATTTTATTTTGACCAAAAAACGGTTTTCAAGTAAATGTTGCTGCAACTTTTGTGTATGGAATGCGCAACATTTGTGTGACCTGATGTTTAAACTGGCAATCGCAAGAATACGTCTGGCAGCACAATCAAACATATCGATACATCGATTGCAGGCGATTTTTTGACAGCGCTGCCACCCCGCAGACAACTTGTTGCTGTGACGTCACAACTAACACGGACACACCAACACACGCATGAATTCGGTCAATATGGCAAACAATCTGTCAAACCCACAATTACAACAACAACTGCGCATTGACAGTTCGTCAATAGGTCCATACATAATCCGTGCCCCCGAATTTTCTCGGCCCCTGCGAGGAAAGTGGCACTGAAATCGCGATCCAAACAAACGGCAAAAGCCCAGCCCGGTCCAGCCCCACGAAATGCTCCCCCAACCGCCGCCGCCCCACACCTTCAAAGTAATGTCGCGCCCCGACGAGTGCCGTCACTACCTTCGCGCATTTATCCACACATACCGCGACCTGCCCGTGCTCTGGGACACCTCCATGCGCGACTACACGAACCGGGAGAAGCGGGCGGAGGCGTACCTCCGGCTGGTGCCCATCTATCATTACCTCAAGCGGGACGCGACGGTCGAGGATGTGAAGAAGAAGATCAACACGCTGCGGACCAACTACCGCAAGGAGCTGAAGGTGATGGAGAGTGCCTTGCGTTCGGGCACTCATCACAGTCCCCGCTGCTGGACCTTCCAGGAGCTGGACTTCCTGCGCAACTCGGAGAAGTTCCTGGCCGTCAATCCGTTCTTCAAGAACGAGCCCTCCTTCCTATTCAGTGAGAACAGCAGCTGCTCGACGGCCTTCCTCGACCAGCACGGCAATCCCCAGCAGCATTATCCGACGCCGCGAGGAGCGGGCGGACAGACGCCAAACATCAATATTTCCGAAATGTTTCACAAATCGTTCGGGCATGCCCAGCGAGTGGACAGCCTCCCGCCACCGTCGCAGCCCCCGCCGGGCATCGGGCATTCCGACTACGGGCCAACGAAGCGGGCCAGACAGACGCCTCCGCTGAACAACGGCTCTGGAGGCGGATCTGCCAACACGGACGAGCTCAACATTGCCTGCGAGTACTTGGCCGGAACATATCCCGACGAGGAGTTGGAGTCCATAGCCCGCACATGGACGCATAAGCTTCGCCGTCTCCCACGCGAGCAGCGGCTCCTGGCCGAGCGCTTTATCAACGAGATTCTGTTCGAGGCCGAGTCCAACAATCTCCACCGCGGCTCCCTCCAGATCAACAATAGCTTCGAGCCGTATGTCCGCTATGACGAGGCCTCCGCGGGCCAGGAGGAGCAGGACAAGTCGCAGAGCCCCAGTGTCCACACGTCCACAGAGTCAAAGGCAATTGTCGCAGCAGAAGCAGCGGCGGTAGAGGCTGCCGCTGAAGCGGCCGCCGGCAGCGGGCTCCCGCTTCTGGACGAGCCAGGAGCCACGGTGGAGATTAGAGAGTTCTAGGGAATACCGACTAGCCTTAAGTGTTATTAAGTTTTTATTTTATTGATTGGACGTAAAACGTGAAACGTAAAACAAGGAATAAATAAACCTGTAAATAAGTAGCCAAAGGAACGAAGGAAACAAATCGGAAACCGGCAATCGAGTCAATCCAGGCGATGGTAGTCGACCAGGCTGCGGGTGAACCAGAGGTAGGGCGAGGCTCCGGCCAGGAAGAGGCAGGCCCCGATCAGAGGTCGATGCAGGATCCAGGCCACGGCCGCATTGATGAGCGCCAGCGAGAAGGCGATGACAAAGTTTCCGGTCATTGGGAACTGCGGATCGGGCGCCAGACAAATGAGTAGAGGAACACGCAGCACTGAAAGCACGGACACAAAATCTAGAGGAGGTAAATGGAAAAGCTGTTGGACACTCACGCAGCAATCGGAGTATCTTGGAGTTGCAGGTGACGCCAAAGAAAATGAGCAGCCAGCCAATGAAGCGCCGCCACCAGGTGTGCAGCACCTGGGTGCGAGATTCGAGCTTGAACACCTCGTGTACGGTCAAGGGCCCCGGATAGACCAGCAGCACGCGAACTCCGCGGGAGGTGACGTAGGGAACCAGCTTGTTGCCCTCCAGCTTGCCCACGACGCTGTACGTCTCCCCCTCCATGGCGGCGAAGCTGAAGAGGATGCGCAGGTCGCCCACCACCGGATTGAACACATCGTTGGTGTGATAGTAGAGGCCTAGGTGGAGCTTGATACTGCTGTCCTCTGGCCGAATGTCCGACGTCAGCTCCTGGTAGTCCTGGAACTTGTTCTTCAGCTCCGACCCAAGCTCGTATCTGCCAATGTACACGGCGTCGGCCACCTGCACGTTGCTCTCGATGGGGAAGTGTGTGGGATTGGTGTGGCCATGGCGATTGTAGAAGTTGCGCGAGTCCACGATCTTGTCCCGCCACTCCCTGGTGTAGTAGTAGGTGCGCGAGTCCGACTGCTCTGTTCCCACACTCTCGCCATAGTTGTGCTCGCTGCGGGTTATCGGAGGGGAGGGATAGTTTTTAATCCGCATTCGCATATCTTTGTTTCGTTACTCACATGGACTCCTCCACCCACTGATACATTTGCACGCGCCTCCGCAACTTGACGGCCATCAGCTGGATGTTGTAGTCGGGCTCGGTGAGCGGCTCCCCAACCAGAATGGGCCCCGAGATGTGCACGATGCGGTTCTCGAAGGTCTGGTCCTGCTCCTCCTCCGTGAACTGGATAGAGTAGATGTCGTCGTACGCTTCATCCAGAGCCATCATTGCGTGCACCGCACGGCCCTCATTCCAGTAGAGCACGACGGTGCCTGCTAGGAACAGGGCCAATCCGAAGATGGAGATGAGCCAGTGTGAGCGAAAGGTCTCGTTCAAGGTGGCCATCAAAATCCATGTGGGGGTTTGTTGTGTGTGAATTGTAAATAATACTTAAATTTCCATTAGACAGCTGATGCTGTCAATCAGTGTGGCCGCGGATTTAGCGATAAAATATACCGTCCGACCCTCAGAAATATACCGCCTCATTTTCAAAATATACCGTAAATATACTGACGAATTCAAGTTATATTTTACATATTCCTCGTTTTTGATATTCCGTCGAATATTACTAGCTATATAGAACATTTAGCCATGCCAACATAATTTTATACGATTGATGAATTAATTTTCTATATAACTGGTGTATTCTTAATACTTGCTTTTATTGCATTCTGCGTAAAAAGAGGTTTTAGGGAAATAGGTCAAACAATCTATAATTGAAAACCGCTTATACAAGTATTAACATAGCGGTTACAAACAAAAGTTTGAATATACCTTAGATTGGCCACACAAGAACTTAATTTTCTCCTTATGTTTGTGTGTGATGCTATTCGACTCAAAATATCAACATTGCAAGCCTTGCAATGAGCATTGACTGCATTTGTACTTCTGCAGAGCCATGTCTTTGTATTGGGTCTTTGTACTCCCACTCCTGTCTGTATTTTTGTTTAAAATCTTTGCTCATTATTTTGTATAGCTCTTGTTAATGGCGGGAGTTCCCTAGCTTCATGAGTCGAACAATTGATTGAATGGCGGCAAAAAATACAATTTAAATTTATTTACTATTTTCTGAATCGCATCGGTTTCTATTTACAGTAGTGGTACATATTTGTAGGGTGCGTTAATTTGGTTGGTATATAATATATATATTGTTATTATTAATATTTAAAAGATACTCCTCGAGTCGAGTCAAGCCAAAGCCAATGCCTGTGCGTATGCGCATCCTGGAATATTACATGAACTTTCCGTAAAAACATAAATATCACTTTCCTGGCGCCATTGGAAATCATTGTGAATCAGAAAACCTATGAAACACTGATGTTTTGGGGTATTGGGGTAAAGCAAGAATTTTGGTCTGGTTGTCGATTTATTGTTAAAAATAGGCTCTTTCTCTTACAAACAAATGAATAACAATAAAAATTAAGGCTTGAAACGTTTCAACTAAAATTTAAAATTATTTAACAAAATACACTATATCTAAACGCGGCATCGCCTCATCGCGACACACAAAAAAAAAACCCATAAAGATAAAAAAGAAATCAATACTCTACAACATATTTGGACAAAAAATCACGCAGAAATATCCCCTGAAAAGGCAGGCGCACTTTTTCTATATATATCATCATCATACTATTATATCATATCCTACGAGCAATAATATCTCGTAAATGTGGTGTTTTTTGTGTGTTGTTTGTTGTCTCCCTGCAGAGCAGAGGGCATACATACAATTTACACGTTGTTTCCTTCTTCCTTCTTACTTTTTTGTTTTTGTTTTTTTTTTTTTGGTTTGAATTTGAAGCAATTTGAAACAATTGTGAGAGCCCCTCGAAAGCTCAAAATCGGATTTGTTTAACTAAATTAAGAGTACGTGGTACGACTGCTAGAGAACCCATTAATTATTATTAGTTGGTATTTTGTCATCGTGTGGATTTAAGGGGGTATGTAGAAGGGTATTGTATTGTTAGATAAATACTAAGGTTTAGGATTTAGGGTTTAGGTATTCCATTCGCTAGCCTGCTGCACAATAAAGTAGATTATACATTATGCGTATTTAGATAGTACTCGTAACTGCTATAAATATTATTAATTATATCATTTGCACTTCTCGTTCAAGCCGAAGAATCGTATCGATCGGATCGCATCGGATCGGCCTCAACGTTGACTAACATGCCACACAATCAAGTAGCTCTTGTCGCCTCGATTCTCGATCGTTTGATTTGGTTCCAGTTGAATACTGTTCTCCATGTCATTATCATCTGCAAAATATATAGTTCGGAAAACATTAATCGACATGTGGAAGCTGTATCCGAAAGATAGGTGAGTGACAAAAACTACGGGGGGATGAATTATTTGCATTTGAGATTTACAGGGATTTCCACATTATACCCGGTACTCCATAGAGAATGACCATAACTAGCAGAATGCCGAATCTGTATCCGACCGGATCATTAATATAGCCAGAAGAAACAAATTAAATTTACGCGCTTACTCATTCTCTCTCTATCTCTATCTCTCTCGCACTCACTATTCCTCGTGCAGTGTGCGCAAACTGGCGAAAGAGAGCGAGACAAAACGGCTGGTGTTGGTGTGAGAATAGAGAAAAAGAGACAGGTGTACAAAATGGAAACAAATAAATATTAAAATATATAAAAATCTCCCAAACGGTTCCTTTTGCAAACTGCGATACCAAGCGACATAATTTTATACGATTGATGAATTAATTTTCTATATAACTGGTGTATTCTTAATACTTGCTTTTATTGCATTCTGCGTAAAAAGAGGTTTTAGGGAAATAGGTCAAACAATCTATAATTGAAAACCGCTTATACAAGTATTAACATAGCGGTTACAAACAAAAGTTTGAATATACCTTAGATTGGCCACACAAGAACTTAATTTTCTCCTTATGTTTGTGTGTGATGCTATTCGACTCAAAATATCAACATTGCAAGCCTTGCAATGAGCATTGACTGCATTTGTACTTCTGCAGAGCCATGTCTTTGTATTGGGTCTTTGTACTCCCACTCCTGTCTGTATTTTTGTTTAAAATCTTTGCTCATTATTTTGTATAGCTCTTGTTAATGGCGGGAGTTCCCTAGCTTCATGAGTCGAACAATTGATTGAATGGCGGCAAAAAATACAATTTAAATTTATTTACTATTTTCTGAATCGCATCGGTTTCTATTTACAGTAGTGGTACATATTTGTAGGGTGCGTTAATTTGGTTGGTATATAATATATATATTGTTATTATTAATATTTAAAAGATACTCCTCGAGTCGAGTCAAGCCAAAGCCAATGCCTGTGCGTATGCGCATCCTGGAATATTACATGAACTTTCCGTAAAAACATAAATATCACTTTCCTGGCGCCATTGGAAATCATTGTGAATCAGAAAACCTATGAAACACTGATGTTTTGGGGTATTGGGGTAAAGCAAGAATTTTGGTCTGGTTGTCGATTTATTGTTAAAAATAGGCTCTTTCTCTTACAAACAAATGAATAACAATAAAAATTAAGGCTTGAAACGTTTCAACTAAAATTTAAAATTATTTAACAAAATACACTATATCTAAACGCGGCATCGCCTCATCGCGACACACAAAAAAAAAACCCATAAAGATAAAAAAGAAATCAATACTCTACAACATATTTGGACAAAAAATCACGCAGAAATATCCCCTGAAAAGGCAGGCGCACTTTTTCTATATATATCATCATCATACTATTATATCATATCCTACGAGCAATAATATCTCGTAAATGTGGTGTTTTTTGTGTGTTGTTTGTTGTCTCCCTGCAGAGCAGAGGGCATACATACAATTTACACGTTGTTTCCTTCTTCCTTCTTACTTTTTTGTTTTTGTTTTTTTTTTTTTGGTTTGAATTTGAAGCAATTTGAAACAATTGTGAGAGCCCCTCGAAAGCTCAAAATCGGATTTGTTTAACTAAATTAAGAGTACGTGGTACGACTGCTAGAGAACCCATTAATTATTATTAGTTGGTATTTTGTCATCGTGTGGATTTAAGGGGGTATGTAGAAGGGTATTGTATTGTTAGATAAATACTAAGGTTTAGGATTTAGGGTTTAGGTATTCCATTCGCTAGCCTGCTGCACAATAAAGTAGATTATACATTATGCGTATTTAGATAGTACTCGTAACTGCTATAAATATTATTAATTATATCATTTGCACTTCTCGTTCAAGCCGAAGAATCGTATCGATCGGATCGCATCGGATCGGCCTCAACGTTGACTAACATGCCACACAATCAAGTAGCTCTTGTCGCCTCGATTCTCGATCGTTTGATTTGGTTCCAGTTGAATACTGTTCTCCATGTCATTATCATCTGCAAAATATATAGTTCGGAAAACATTAATCGACATGTGGAAGCTGTATCCGAAAGATAGGTGAGTGACAAAAACTACGGGGGGATGAATTATTTGCATTTGAGATTTACAGGGATTTCCACATTATACCCGGTACTCCATAGAGAATGACCATAACTAGCAGAATGCCGAATCTGTATCCGACCGGATCATTAATATAGCCAGAAGAAACAAATTAAATTTACGCGCTTACTCATTCTCTCTCTATCTCTATCTCTCTCGCACTCACTATTCCTCGTGCAGTGTGCGCAAACTGGCGAAAGAGAGCGAGACAAAACGGCTGGTGTTGGTGTGAGAATAGAGAAAAAGAGACAGGTGTACAAAATGGAAACAAATAAATATTAAAATATATAAAAATCTCCCAAACGGTTCCTTTTGCAAACTGCGATACCAAGCGACATAAAAATTAAATATGGTATAAATTATATAAATCATAAGCTCACATAGAAACCGACTGAGTACCGGGTATAAGGACGGGTTCCCGCTCGTTTTAGTAAGCGTTTTAGTGAAAGGTGCACCCACATTATTTGGTAGTTTGTAGAAGTCTTTTTACAATTGGAAATGATTTCAAATTGAGTAAAAATTAAGTAAATAATTATAGCTTAAACAAATGTACAAGTATCCATTCCGAACCGATTAAAAGTGCTCAGGGGACAGGGGACACGGGACACGGGGACACACCAATGGGAGCATGTTTTGTGGAGGAAGAACATCCATTTGGCTGCAAGTGCAAGGACAGGACAGGAGGTGTGAAGGTGCGCGTAACATGTACAGTACAGTACGTTTCATAGCTCTTCAAAATTGAACGCACATTCAAAACATGAACCAAATAAAAGGGAAACTTGCTTAAGTTCAGGTCACGGCTGACACAAATGCTGCTGCATTTCACGTGGAACTGGAGTACGCGCAGGAGGAGGAGGAGGAGCCCATCCCCTCATCCCAGGGCGGGCGTACTACAAGTTGAAGGTACTACGGGCAGAGGCGGCAGAGAATGCACAAATAAATCGGATTAAAAGAAAGGCAGAACAGAAATCAAACAATCAAAGACGTAAACAAAAAGCGGATAAAACGAAAGAAAGGGAAAGGAAGGGAAATCAAGTCAATCATAAATCAAAAGATACGAAATAATAACGAAAGAATAAAGAAAGGCTTACGTATCGACTTTCCAAACTATCAAATGCGCTGCATTATCGCTAGCATCGAATTTATCATGTCCTGGAGATGGGAGGATATGGAATATGGAATGGTTATACATATGTATCCATAGCGTAGGCTGCGTTCCAGCTATAGCTTGGATGCCATGTCCTGTTCTGCAGGAGGAGTGCAGGACTTACTTATGCGAAAATCGATGTAGCCTTCGCCACCGCACATGACCAGCATATCGGGCCGCTTGTTCACGAAGGTCAGTCCGCCGTTCAGGTTCGGCTGCTGCAGCATCGGCACGGAAACAAAGAACTTGACCGCATCGCGGTGGCCGTGGAAGGAGAGTTGAGCATTGGCCATGCAGCACAGCGGCATCTGGCCATGGGGATCGGCTGAAACGGAGGAAAGAGACATTAGGATTAACCGATTCTCTTCCACACTATCCTCCACTCACATGTCTTCTGCTGCACCTCGGCCAGTGGCACCGAGATGATCACCCCGTTGCTGGTGCCGATCCACAGGCGGTTGCAGGACACCATCAGAGCGGTGATGCGGACAAAGCTGAAGCCCAGCTTGCCAGTGCCGAGCATTTTGGACACATACGGCTCAATGTCCACGTCCTGCTTGTGCTCGAACGTATGCGTGTTGTACAGACGGAGCGTCGAGTCCAGTCTGAGGGGGGAAAGAACATTAGCATCCATTGAACAGGGGCTCTAAGTGTGTGGGGCTCTTACCGTATGGATACCCAGACACCGGCACCTGTGGCCGCCATCTGCCTCACCTGGCTCTCCTTGCGCGGATGCGCGTCCAGCGAGTGCACAATGTTGAGCGATATGGGGTCCACAATGAAGATCTTGTTGCGATGCGCCGCCCAAATGCGCTCGCCGGCCACACAGAGGCAACGTATCGAATGATTGCGATCACCGAGCGTCACCAGGTGATAACTATTCAGATCCCATTGGCCGTCTGTTTGGCGGCGGAACACGGCCAACTGGGCATTGGCCAGCGCCACAACAACCCTCGCCTCCACATGCACAATCGCCAGGACGGCATCCGGCAGGAGAACGCGGTGCAGGCACTCGTGCCACCGCCCCACCCCGCTGTGGACGTACAGCCAGCCGTCTTGGGCCCCCATCCACATGGTCGGTCCCACCGAAGTCATCGGCGGATCCTCGCGCTCCTTCGTCCCCAGAATGGGGTTCAGCGACTTGGTGGCGAACAGAACGCTCCCGCTGCTGCTACTGTTGTTGTTGTTCGCCTGATTACCGTCGCTGCCGCTGTTGCCGCTGGAGAGACGCTGAGGGGCGCCGGGCAGGGCCTGGCGTATCTTGATGGCCTCCACATTGACGAGTGGCTCCTCGGCATTCACGGGCGGCAGTGGCTCATTGGATTTCTCCGTAGCCTCCTTGGCTTCCTCCTCGTCCTGCTGCTGCTGGGGTTTGCTGTTGCTGTTCTGCTCGTCCTCGGACTTGGGCTTCACGCGCACAAACTCCACTTTGCCGAGCAGCTCTGTGCCCTCGCCGGGCCGCTGCAGCATCTCGCCCGCCTTGACCACCTCCGACTGCTCCAGCAGCGCGTAGTCGCTCTCCATGGCTCCCTGCACGGAGGCGATGCACAGCAAGTGGGAGGAGCAGATGGGAAAGGCATCCAGAACGGTGGCCGACTGGTTGGCATCCACCACACTGACCGTGCTGGCCGCGTGGGTGCTCGTGCAGATCCACACGAAGGAGCTCAGCTGCGTCTCCGGCTCCAGGGTCTCCAGGCTGGCGCGGGCTATCTGTCTGTCCAGCGCCTCGACGCTCTGCTCCGCCGTCGGACTCGTGATCTCTGTGATTTTAAGCGTGGACTTGGGGGCGTATGGCGAGTCGGCGGGTATCAGCGATTGGCCGTCTTTGGTGAAGCCTCCGTGGAGATTGACGCCGGCCGCGCAGAACACCTTCATGTGGGGCGAGGCCTCGGCCAGGGGATTGCAGTAGACGGGCACCGGAACGCCGCCCGAGTGCCGGCTGGGATTGGCCTCTTGGTTGGCCTTGTTTATGGGCAAACTCCAGCCATACGCGTGCAGGCGTCCGTCCTCCTTCTGGACATGGGCGCGCAGCTGCCGGTACTGCTCGCGCCTCCTCGCACTGATACGCTCCGAGCCCCCGTCCTCGGAGTAGTCCTTGGGCATCACCAGGGCATTGGCGAGCCCCGCGCTCGCGGGATGCATGGGCGGCTGGGAGCCGGCTAAGGTAAGGCGATTGTCCCCACTTCCACGGCTTGGGGATCCGTGGCTGTGGGCAGGACTTCCTCCCCCGGTATTACGAAACATCGGCCCCCCTCCCAGCCCGTCGGCGATGCGTTCCGTCGGGCGATTGGAGGGGCTGTCACGAAACAGAGTAGAGACATTATCAGAATGAATCCGGGCTCGAGGAGGGGATAACTCACGTGAAAAGATTACTAAAGTACTTCCAGATGCTCTGCTTCGATTTCTTGTCCAAGTTGTCGACGGTGCGCGAGGCGCGCAGTATCTCCGTGAGACGCACTGCCTCCTGCAGCTCCATCAGACGCTCCTTGTACTGGTTACGTTCCATGAGGACCATGGCCATCTCGACGCGAGTGAAACGCTTGCGCTGTGCGAGCGGCACATCGTTCTCCTCCTGTTCGGTGTCTGGTGAATCGAAGAAGAGAATTGCATCAGAAATCGGTTTGCATTCAGCTGCAGCTGGAGGGATCGGCTTACTTTGTTGCTTCACCTGCTCCTTGGTCTTCTTGAGCTCCTCCTCCAGTTCGCTGATGCGCTGCCTGAGCTTCGTCCTCGACTGCTGCATGGCACTCAGCTCCTCGCGCACAATTTCCACTTCTCCCGTCAGCTCATCCACTTTGACAATCAGATCATCCTTGACAATGTTCAGGGCATTCCTAGAGAGAGAGGATGGTATTGGGATCATTGCAGAGAGACAAGAGCGAGAGACAGAGAGAGTGAGATATTTACTTGGTGGCCAGCAGCTCATTGTTCTCCATGATGAGATTCTCCACTTCCTTGCCCATGCCTGCAACGTGTACGAAAGGTTCATTAGAAAAGAGAGGAACGATCAATAGACAAAAAGAATGAAAGCATCCCAAAAAGGAACTCAAGGGCAGAATAAATAGATGATAAATGATAAATGGGAGACCAAAAACCGAAACTAAAGAGAAAACTATAACCAAATATGATATATGGCTAATAAACCAAAGGGAGAACAGAAATAACTGAAGAGCTTTCCAATCAATGTCCTAAAACCGAACACAAACACCAAAAAGAAGTCGAAAATTAACCTTAGAGCCGAATGCCAAAGATGATTCTACGATAAAGCTACTTACGATAGAAGAAACAGAGAGTAAATGGGGTGGGATTGTAGGATTGTAGGATTGTACAGAATCTACTGATTAATGATTAAATGATTCAGAGATCTCTCACGATCTCTGCCGCTTCTTCAGACTTACCAAAATAGTTGTCGTTTGCTTCAGGGATTCGAATGTACAATTATTTTCGTATGGTGGTGGGATTTGGTGGGTTGGTGGTTTTGGTTGTGGGAGGATATACAAAATGTGGTGTTTGTGGTGGGGATAAGTAGAGTTCGGCATAAAAGAAAGAGAATTTTCATTAGATTCGGATTCGGATTATACAATTTTATTTGTCTCAAGTTGTTTTTTGTTTTTCTTTTGGTTTTTGTTTGCTTAATGGATGGGGATACACTTTCTCGAGCACATAGTAGGGTTCGGACATCACAAAGAAGAAGAAACACACACACACAGAAACTAGAAGAGCAGAAGATCCTTAGCTTTCAGCTAACAGTTTTCAGTTTACAGTTTTCAGTCGATTCTCGCATGATATTTGATGTATTTACAGGTTATATAGATGAAACTATATATGTAGGAGTCATATGGCTGTGCCTGTGCCTGTGCCTGTGGCTGTGGCTGTGCCTGGGGCTGTGCTTGTGGTGCACTCTCTTGCACCACTACTTGTCTGTCTGGGGTTTGATTTTGGGTGTGGTGGTCGTGGTGGTACCTACCTGAGGACGCGTACTCTCCGGGATGTACCCAGCAGCCTGTACCAGGGAAAGGAAGCGTTTCACCCGAGTGTAGCGAGGTGTGGCGGAGGTGGAAATGGAAGAATAGAGAGAGAGAGAGAAAGGAGACGTGACATTAAGTAATGCTGGGAATAGACCATTAAGGAGGGATCTTTAAAGGGAGAGATATCCGGAAATCCTAGACACATGTAGTCCCCTCTCCATTCGAAGTGCGAACATTCGATTCCTCTCTCACCTGTAACAATCTCATTCTCTTCGCTCTCCTCATTGTCCTGGAAGGACAGCTCTTGGTAGAGATTATTGTCCGAGCGCTGCTCCTTTTTGGTGGTCGAGCGACCAACTGACGGACGCAAAGGTTGGGGGCAGTGTTTGGGGTTTGGTCGAGGTTTTAGTCGAGTTAACACACAAATCAAAAACAAAAGAGAGCAAGAAGTAGACACATTAGTACGGTGTGTGAGTGGCAGAGTGGAAGATAATCTTTTGGGCCTCCCAAAGGCACCCGAACCTACCATTTGCGGGAGGCACGTTTGGCACAACGGGACTGGTGTCGGGGGGACTCTGGGGCGAGGTGGCCTGATGCTGCTGCTGCAGCGAATCGGTGGCTGCGCCCCGCTCCGCCGTACTGGGCAGGCTCATGTCCAGCTCATTCTGCAGCGACGGCGGCCCCGAGTCGTCCGACTGGCTGCCCACGCTGCAGATGGTCTCGGTGTCCAGCATGACGGAGTTCTCCAGCGAGGCGAAGCCGTAGGAGACGGGGCCCGAGCTGCGGGCCACGGGATTGAGGCGCGCACGACTCACTTCCATGCGGTCGGAGGCGGTGCTCATTTGTGAGTGCGTGGAGCCCATCAGCATCTTGGTGCGTTCCATGTAGTCCACGTGATTCTTGAACAGCTCCGTGTACCGCTCGTGCAGCTTGTTGTATTCCTGGAAACACAAGACAGGGTGGCGCAGGGGATTGGTTTTTTGCACTTTCCCTTTCAATCCGCCCCGCACAGCACTCACCTTTTTGAGGTCCGTCTCCCGCTCCTCCAGGCGACTGGCATGCTCCAGACTGTTCTTGTGCTTCAGCTCCAGCATCCGCACAATGCTCTCCACGGACTCGAGGCGTGTGGCCAGCTCCTTGTTCTCCTGCTCGGCCAGGTCCTCAGCCTCCAGTAGCTGCAGGGGACAGGGGGATTATTGAGATTTTGAGCATTGCCTTCGTTTGCCACCATTCGACTCACCTTCTGTTCGGACTGTTTGCGGGCGCTCTTCTCCCGCTCGTACTGCGTCACCAGCTGCTCATTGTCCTCGCGCAGCAGCTCCAACTCGACATCCTGCTCCTGATTGATGCGATACGAGGCGTCCAGGCACTCCAGCACGTTCACCAGCAGCGGCATCAGGTTCTTCACCACGTCCTCGTCGTAGCGATTGATCATCCGCTCGAACTCCTGATAAATGCTCCCCGCCAGCTGCTGGACCTGCAAGGAGGCGCGTGACAGAGAAAGAATAGAAAGGGGTGCATCAGTCTCAATTGATTTTTGCGGTTTGCGTTTCGGTTTGTGGTTTGGGGCTTGGGGTCTGGGATGGTGCAAAATGGGACACGGCGGGGCGCAGCAATCGATTGATTAGTAGCTTGAGGCGGAGGGGCGGGATCTGTAGTAGCAGACAGACGGATTTATAGAACCCTTTTGTTCTTTGAAAGATTTAATGGTTTTCATTTTGATGAATGGAAAGCTCTGGGAATGTGACCTAAAGAGAACACCACGAAAAGTCGGACTGTTATAAATTTATTAATTGCGAAACTCCCCCCTCCCGCTGTTACCACTCAAAATTGTTAGTTACAGAGCAAAAGGAAAACAAAAATGCAATGTTATTATTTAGAAATTATTCTAGCGTGCAGTTTATACGAAACAGAACAAGAGAGACGGAAAATAGTGAAAGGAAAGAACAGAAAAGAAAAGAAACACCAAATGAATAAATTTTGGAATAAGATAACTCACGATGCTGACAACCTGATCATTCTGAAAGAGAAAAGAAAAGAACAAAAAACAAGGTGTAAAGAACACATAAAAAACCATAATTTGAAACTAATTAAATAACTAAATAAATTAAAATTTAGACAGAAACCAAAAATAAAAACCACAAATGTTTTTAAAATATATACAGAAAAAAGGAAGAATTTAATATTATTGCATTAAAGTCATGGTTTCTTCCGGGAATGATTGAGTGATTGTGATGTGTGTATAAATGTATAAATAAATAGGACAGGGGTTCCCCAGGTACTAGTGCCTCATAATTTCCCTACTTATTTTCGCTACCGAAACTCCGCTGCTGGTGGGCCAAGGCTACGGCTACGGCTGCTTGGAGCCCACTTATGAGGCCGAAAACTACTCGTGGCTATCGTCATTGGTCATGTCTTGCTTAAATATTTATAAACTTATTTGGTGAGACCCGTTTTTGGAATTATCTTCGTGTGGTTGCTGTTGTTGGCCCAAGAAACGAGTTTCTGCCGCTCGAAACACTCCTCGGCCTCTCATTGCTCAATTAGCAGTACGAGTACAGGTGGTGGGGGCTTATCAGGTGGGAACATGTGCTCGAAGAACTGACTGAATGAATGAGCTCATTACTAGAGAGAGGGAGAGAGAGGGGGAGGAAGTGATTGACAGGAAGAGGAGAGGGACAGCTCAACAGCTTAAATTTGCATAGCACACACGTCGATTAAAGGTAATGCTTGGAGAAGCTGATAAAGTGCAAAATCAATCGGGGAATTGGGGTGAAATGAAATCGAATAAAAATAAACTCTGCCGGCGGAAAGAGAAGGGGAAGTGGGTTGGCAAGGGATTGCGTGAGGCGGTCATCAAATTTGAGGGCCGACGCCGACTGACTGACTGAATGACTGACTTTATTGATTTGTGCTCCCCGGCAAAGGCTCTCCTGCTTTCTGCCTTGTGCATTTCTTGCGCGCTCGCTCTCTTGCTCCCTCTTTCGCCGCTGGGTTTTGCTTTGCTTTTCGCCAGTTTGAATGTCAATGACCACAGATGTGGGGGGTACACTCGACCCCCACTGGCCGCAGTCACTGGCGTCAGCTGATGCATGATAAACAATTCTGAGATGCGTTTTTACATAATGATATCCACATACAGAGAGATACAGATAGAAAGAGAGAGATAGAGAGAGAGAAAGAAAGAACTGTAGAGGAGAGGCATGTTTCCGCTTGGACACTTTTATAGCCTCATTATCTTTCGCTTGTTTGTGGAGAGCCCCGAATCGAAATACAAGAAAAGATTACACACAGACCACCAGAAGGGAGTAGTCCTATCAAAGTTAAGGAAAAATCACTGTACCCACCCGCATGAATCATTTACATTTACGGAGATTCAGTGCACAAATGATATCATTTATGGATCACACATTCGTATGTCTATATGTATATGTACCTTCTCTGACATGACCATATTGTTGTCCTCCGTGCCGTAGACGGTCTCCGCTCCCGACTGCGGGCCACCGTTGTTGAGCAGCGCATCGTCGTTGTCCATCATTTTGAGAGAGGGGAGGCGGGGCGGCCGTTCTCCGAAAGGGTTTGAGAGAAAGGTGGGGTGGTGGTCACCCTTACTGTTTTTGTGTGGGATCTCACGTCACGCGTTAACCGTTATGCAGGCAATAGCTTTTCAACCCCACCAACAAAAACAACAAAATCAAAAACAACAACAGCAGTTATGCTACGGTACTGCGTGTGGGTGGCTGAGTGTGTGTGTGGGCTGCAGCGACCCACTCACTCACACAGTCAAGGAGAGACAGTAAGGGGAGCGTGAGAGTGCGAGAGAGAGAGAGGGTCACACTTGATTTGAATGCTCGCTTTTGTTGCTCTCTATTTTTGTTTGGTTTGATCTCTCCTCTCTCTCTTTTATACTATATTTTATATATTTTTTGTTGTATTTTCTTCCTGCGTTCTGCGTGTCACTTTATTTGCGTTTTTCGTTTCGGTCGTCCAGTGGTTGTTGTTGTTGTAGCCTCGTCTCTTCCCCATCCATTTACATCGTTTTCTTGACTAGATTTCATTTTTTTTCGTCTACGTTTTTCGTTGCATTTTCGTTAGTGTTTCGCCCGGATTTCACTGCACACGCCTGCCCGACCAGGTGATGAGTATTATTACGCGCTATTTATAGCTAAACTATAGACTTTTAACGCATTTTTGCAATAAATATTGCAGGCGAGCGACGAAATTTGTGTGACCGCGGATTTATCGTTAAAATATACGGTCTGACATATACCAAAATATACCGTCTCATTTTAAAAATATACCGTAAATACACTGACGAATTCAAGGTATATTTTGCATATTCCTCGTTTTTGATATCCGTGGAATATTATTAGCTAGATAGAACATTTAGGCCCTGCCCACATAATTTTATCCGATTAAAAAATCAATTTCCTTATTGACTGGTTAAATTTAAATACTTGCTTTTATTGCATTTTGCGCAAAAAGAGGTTTTCGCGAAAATGGAATTTAATAGATACCATTATATATCGATATACCGTAAACGGTCACCTGAGATGCACACAGTATATTTACGGTATATTTTTAAAATGAGACGGTATATTTCTGAGGGTCGGACGGTATCCCTAGTGCCATTGTTGTTGTTATTCGTTTCCTCATTTTTTGCTCCGTTCCTGAATTAAAATGGTTTTTGTGAAGAATTGGGAAGACTTTGAGATTGCCGCCGAGAACATGTACATGGCGAATCCACAGAACTGCCGCTACACAATGAAATACGTGCATTCCAAGGGCCACATATTGCTGAAAATGACGGACAATGTAAAGGTTCGTACGAGAAGAAGAAGAGGAATCAAGCGGCCACGACTTTCGCTGGCCAGAAATTAACAATATAATACCAACCATTATTGTTGCAGTCCGTACAGTACAAAGCGGAAAACATGCCCGACCTGAAGAAAATCGAAAAGATCACCAGCAACCTGGTGGGACATATGGCCTCCAAGGAGTAAACGTCGAAATACAACAAAACATTTGGCCACGGCGGCACTTTGGACCACAGAAGTTGCTCCACCTCGTGTGTCGTTTCCACCCGCAATTGATTTAGTTTATAAGCGCACCGCTGGCTGCATTCCGGTGTGGCGATCAGAGTAGTTTTTTCCTGTTTAAATAACATTTTATAAATGTTAGCTCTGTACACGCCGGGGCGCCCACAGGCAGTTGGCTGGCGGCGCACAAGGATTTTTGAAAATACCAATATATATTTTTTGTATTTATCTTAATGTAAATGGTCACTAGTACACATTTCCATGAAATGGTTTCCTTGAAATGAAAATAAACCAGGGGAAAATCGTACAATTGGAAGGAAGCCAGCCAGTTTTTATTGCGTTTGCGATGTTATATCCGGAAAAGTGCATGTTTATTCTATTTTTAAATATTCAGGCAGGCTCCAGTTTTTCCTTTCGCAAAAATGTTCCGATTTAACTGACACTATTACTATTTACCATTTTTGTTTTCCTCGCCGAAATGAAGAGTAAACAGCTTTTTTCCTGCAAAAGGAAAAAATAGATGCCTTATTGATGCATTAACATTAATTTAACACCATTACCAGAGCAACTTATCATGTCCCTTTTTTATAAATAATTTTTTGTTTTCCATAAATCATAATAAAATCTCTGTTACAAATAGTGCGTTTAGACATTGGTATATAGCAGCCAGCTTCTGTAGGACAGCTTTTTCGGGCACCGCTAGATGGAGCTTCCGTAAAGTAATCGAAAATTTAAATTTATGGCGGTAAAAATGTATGTTCCAATACGAATTTCCTAAAAAAAACAACTATAAATTGCATATCCATTAAAGTGATTAAACAGCCCCAAACAAACAGTTTACAGGGAAGAGAGAAAGAGTTGGTTTGGTGGGAAGGGGAGGAAGAGGAGGAGAAACCCAGATGGGAACTGAGAACTGGGTTTGAGAATGAGAATGGGAATGGGATGCTGCTCACTTAATAATCCAAGAGCAAATATTGAATATTTGCATGGAAGGCACTCGAGTTTATTTGCCGCAGGAGATTGACAGCAGAGATTGATGGAATGAGTCGCTGCGGATTGGCCAGAAGAGATCAGTAGCCGGCAAGTGTTTGTTGACCAACAGAATGCCACCAGAAGTGTTTGCCTCCTGCAGAATGCAGTACTCGGGAGTACTCTATCCGCATCTACTACCTGCTGGGAGCTGGGAGCTGGCATCTGGGAGCTGGGGAGGCAACTCAGTAGCCACTTTGGATTAAGGCACCTTCCGCGACACACTCGTACTCGTACGCGTACGTTTGCTTGACCCACAGACGCTTGGATGATGCGGCGATCAGAGGCGATCCGCTCGTGCGCGGACCTTTTGATCGACTCCTCCTCATGGCAGCCCTACAGTTGCAGCTCAAGCGACCTCCGGAGGCACCACCTAGTGCCTCCTCCCAGTACTTGGCTTTGATTGAAGATACCGTCGAGCCACCGAACAGTTTCCGGCCCGACAAGCTCATTTGGCTTCTGTTTGATGTGGCTCGAAGATGATGTGGCCTGCCTCTCTTTTCTCCTTATCGGATGTTTATGTTTGCTGCTGTTGTGTTTGGTGCTTTTTGAATATCTCTGAATGTCTTTCTCCTCACTCGTCCATCGGGTACGATTTCTGTTTGCTGACTTTGGGCATTGCATTGCATTGCAATCACAATCAGAATCACTTTAGGCGGCTCGGCTTTAACGCCCCTTTATCTCTGGGCTGCTACCAATTTCGTAGCATGCCCTCCAAGTGCTCAAAGATCGGTCAGATACCTCCCAATTGCATGTGGAGTTGAATGATCTTTCAGTGATCGTTGGACATACTATTTTTATGAACAGGCTCCTATCGGAATCAACAAATCAAAAGATAGACTTGGAAAATAAACAAGCAATCGGTTGAGATTCTCTATATAGCATACGAGTACCATATCTGATATATACCTACTTATATATGGACGATTATAATGGGGCAACGGTTACGGCTACGGCTACTGGTATTTGAAATTGAGCGGGGGGGTGGGGCTCATAAAAGAGCATAGACGTTGCACTGTTGCGGTGGCAATAATTTCGATCGTTACAAGACGATAAAGCCCACGGTTTAATTAGGACCCACACACACCCAACACCCTCGTGAACTATCGTGAGCGATAAACTTGACAAATAACATAAATACCATTTATTGCGGGTGGTTGCTGATGGCTGGATGGATAGTGAGTGATTGTGTGTGTGATTGGGGGGCGGATGGGAGCGGCTCGGAATGTTTCGATGTCTCCACTCTTGAGGCCCACCCCCCGTCCGCAGCCCCTTCTCAAATATACCTACTAGTATTACGCGCTTCTCCGTGTCCGTGTACGTGCTTTTTACGACACCCCCACTGTGGCGTCAATTATAAAGATATTTAAGTACATTTAGCATTCAATTAGACGACCGTTCGGCCAGAGGTGCTGCCCAGAGGGAGCCCATGGCCTCATGGCCAGACATGGTCGGTAAGTCCCACTGATTTAATATATTATATATTATATTATATATTGCATGTGCTGTAGACCCGTAGAGCTGTGGACACCCCCTATCATATAACTAAGTCGCGCTGATTGCCATAACTAGTCGGTCATATGACAATTAGTTGTAAATTAAGACCCGAATGCTTCTTCCAATCGCACGACACAACGACCGTTGGGTGCAGCGCATGTTGAGGATTTTCAATCTAAATAATACACATAGAGTACAGATAGATACGACCGAAAGATACGCCATCGAATGAGTGGAAATTGATCCAAACGGGCTTCCCGATAACCATCCTTATTCTGGCAGTAAAAATGATTCGATTGGAATGATCGCGGTTAGATTGGATACCAAGTGGAGTGTGAGGTGGGGCTGGCAGCTGGGGGTTGGGGGTTGGGCGGCATCTTTTGGAGTTGTTCAAAGTTTGCTTTACACCTCCACCACTCATCAGCACTCACCTCAGGCAGACATAGCCACCACTCCACTCCGTTCCGTTCACCACTTGATTTATGCAAATAAGCCACGTTTAATTATGGCCATTAGCCACTGTTGAGCGGCTTCCGTTTTGAGTCAATAGAGCGGCGCAAGGGGTGGTCCAGGGGGCTTTTAGTCGGCTTGTAAGCCTTTGTTGTGCCTCCCCAGAAGGAAGGGTGGGGCCGAGACTGGGGCTGAGGCTGGGGCTGCCCCGAGAAGGTTCGCGGAGACAATGAAGCCTACCTTTAATGAGTTTTATATTGACCGAGGCTATTGACCAAGCTATGATATGGAGAGAGACAGAGAGAGTGACTAATATCAACTTGGAATAGAATAGCGATTTATGGTACCCCTCCACGTATTACTTCTGACGAACACCAGCCGGAAGTACTTTGCCTGGAGTCACCTGAAAATGTCTCATAATCATAATCATATCATCAATTTGGTTTGTTTTGGGGTGACAGCATGTCTATAAGGAACTGAACTAATTGCCAGAACCAACCAGATATCAGTTTCATTATAATTGAATCACAAAAGTTTAACCAGAAATTGCACAATCTGTCGCTGCGATGACAAAGTATGAGCCACAGATACGGAAACAATTGGCTACTCAGAGATTTGTCATGCTTGGGTGTAAGAGGGGGGCGCGGAGGGCGGAGGAGGCACACGATCTATCCCTGGAACCCTCGCCCTTCAATGAAACAACTCCTCCTCCTCCTCCTGCTCCACAGCGACTTATCGCAGAGCACAAATCAAATAAAAGCAGAGAGCGAGAGAGGGATAGAGGTAAAGCGATTTCAAAACTGTTGATAAATCGCAATTGTTATTACTAATATACGATTGGGGGCTTGGTAATGGCTTATTTATAGGGCGAACAGGGGTCTCGTCTCTGGGCTTCTGGGCTGGTAAATCAACGTCTATGATTAGAGGTTAATACATCTTGATAACAGAGTCAGTCGAAGGCAGGAGGCAGGGGCGGGGACAGGCGAAGAAGGTAGCCAGAATCAATTGATAAATCAAAAAAATGTTAGCTTTCTCTCCACTCCACAGCACAGCCCTCGCTGCTTCGGTGGTTATCGCGGAAAACCCAATCTAGTAATTCCGCAATTGAGTTGATTAACTAGCTAATCGAAAGATTTGCACTTAGTTCGAGTGGCAATTTCCTTGAAAGTTTTTCCGCGTTTAAAACGCGCCAGAAACGTGAGACGCGACTCCTCCGCAATATTCCCATCTCCGCTCTCCGCTCTCCGCTCTCCGCTCTCCACTCTCCACTCTCCGGTCTCCGGTCTCGTCTACGACCGCATCTGTGTTTACCCATTAGCGTTTTTCGGGCTGGCAGCTTAAAATGTTTACTCGAAGACGTTGCTCACCTCTCTATAGAGAGAGAGAGAGAGAGAGCGAAGGAGAGGGGGAGGGAGGGGAATCACAAGAGATGTGGAGGGTGGACTGGGAAGGGGGGGAGGGGACTATCCGCAAGGTATAAAATCATCTTTATTTTCTGGCATTTTTGTTTGCTTTCGAATTATTTCGGTTCGTTTTTTTTTTTAATTTTTTTTGTTTTTTTGTTTTTGTTTTTGGCGAATGTCAAATACGCAATGCGTAAGTGAGGTAGCTCCACAGGGTAGAGGGGTAGGGGGGCAGGGGGTGGGCAGCAAAGTGGTAAGGCTAGATGGCGCCACAGCGACACTTTGTCGGCCATCGTAAATTCATTGAAATTCCCTTTTAATGGAGATTAATATGAGCAGCGCCGTCCCCGAGGCGCCTCCGCTCCCCGAAAGTCCGAATTTATTGACTTTGCTAAATGTTTTTGAAAAAGTTTTTTATATTTGCTTGGATTTCATTTCATTTCATTTGATTTCATTATTTTATTTGCCTTTTGTGTGCCATTCAGCCAGTCCTGCTAATTAAGAACGTGGGAACGTATCCAAGGGGCACTTGGCATGACCCCAACTGGAGATGAAGAGATCTCTTCATTTGATGGAGTAAACACACACGAAATGACATTCCTTTAGGGGCGTATAGTAGGTACAGTAGGAGGAAGGGATATACGATCGATCGATCCGCTTTCATAAAATTTGAATTTATTATTTTTTCTAATTTATAATCCTTTTTGTTCCGAAACCTTTGCCCCGACTGTAGCGGTAGTGGTAGCGGGAGCGGAGTTCTCCCCTCCTCCAATTAGCAACAAATCAACCCACAATCGGTGGGGCTAAGCCCCATCGAACAGTAAAACGATTAACAAATGGAGAAAGGGGAGGGTGACCGACGAGAGGCCGAACCGTTTTATGAGCAAATCAATCAATTTCAATGCAATTTCAATTAGGCCAAGATAAGCCATTCGAATCGGTG